CCACTCACTCCAGCCCCCCCACCCCCGCTTGCTCTCCTCCACTCTCATTCACTTTCACGGGCTGGGCAGGGGGTTGGGGTGTGGGAGGAGTGAGGGCTCCAGCTGGAGGTGTGGGCTTCAGGGTGGGGCCAGAAATGAGGGGCTCAGGGTGTGGTAAGGGGCTCCAGGCTCCAGCTGGAGGTGCAGGCTCTGGGGTAGAGCTGGGGATGAGGAGTTTGCGGTGCAGAAGGGGCCTCTGGGGGGACGAGGGGTTTGGAGTGCGGGAGGGGGTTCCGACCTAGGGCGGGGGTGAGGGTTTGGGTGGGGGTGTGGGGTCTGGGAGGGAGTTAGGGTGCAGGAGGGGGTTCAGACCTGGGGCAGGGGGTTCAGGGTGCAGGGTCAAGCTGGGCGGCGCTTACCTCAGGCAGCTCCCGGTCGGCGGTGTAGCAGGGCTAAGGCAGTCTCCCTGCCTGCCTGGCTCTGCACTGCTCCCGGAAGCAGCCACCATGTCTGGTCCCTATGCGGAGACACAGCCAGGAGGCTCTGCACGGTTTACGCTGCCAGCGCCGTGGCCAGGGGGAGCTGCAGAGCCAGCACGGGGGGGGGCGGCGGGAGCAGCACACAGGGCTTTCCTGATTGTCCCTGCTCCTAGGGGCCACAGGGGCATGCCAGCCACTTCCGGGGAGCTGCACAAAGCCAGGGCAGGTGGGTGTAGTAGGAAGAGAGGCTGAGACATGAGCCCTTATATCAGAGGCCTGCTGTGAGGCAGGACCTGCTCAGAGAATCTGGCAAGAACAGGGCTGATATTACACATTCCTAAGTAGTGCTAAGCACAGAGTGCTCTCACAAATACATCCTGATATCAAGTGGTACCAGAACATCCCAATATCAGGGATGATACAGAAACATTCCCCAAGGACAACAGGAACACACTGACCCCTTCTAAAAGATAAAGTCAGGATAACAGTATGTAATAAATATGTTTTAATTGAACCAATATGTACAAGGTGATAACTAGCCACATCAGGGAGCAGTAATTATGTCAGAGACAGTACGTAATTTGTTTGTATCAGGGTATAAAGATGTATCTCAGAGGGAGCATCTTTGTCCTGCCAAGGGGGGAATGGAAAGTCCCGCCATTCACTGAGCTGCATTCATTGTCATAGAATCTTATTCTTATTCCACAGTATTCTTGTCAGCAAGTTAAGGAAGTATGGGCTGGATGAATGCACTATAAGGTGGGTAGAAAGCTGGCTAGATTGTCGGGCTCAACGGGTAGTGATCAATGGCTCCTTGTCTAGTTGGCAGCCGGTATCAAGTGGAGTGCCCCAAGGGTCGGTCCTGGGGCCGGTTTTGTTCAATATCTTCATAAATGATCTGGAGGATGGTGTGGATTGCACTCTCAGCAAATTTGCGGATGATACTAAACTGGGAGGAGTGGTAGATACGCTGGAGGGGAGGGATAGGATACAGAAGGACCTAGACAAATTGGAGGATTGGGCCAAAAGAAATCTGATGAGGTTCAATAAGGATAAGTGCAGGGTCCTGCACTTAGGATGGAAGAACCCAATGCACCGCTACAGACTAGGGACCGAATGGCTAGGCAGCAGTTCTGCGGAAAAGGACCTAGGGGTGACAGTGGACGAGAAGCTGGATATGAGTCAGCAGTGTGCCCTTGTTGCCAAGAAGGCCAATGGCATTTTGGGATGTATAAGTAGGGGCATAGCGAGCAGATCGAGGGACGTGATCGTTCCCCTCTATTCGACATTGGTGAGGCCTCATCTGGAGTACTGTGTCCAGTTTTGGGCCCCACACTTCAAGAAGGATGTGGATAAATTGGAGAGAGTCCAGCGAAGGGCAACAAAAATGATTAGGGGTCTGGAACACATGACTTATGAGGAGAGGCTGAGGGAGCTGGGATTGTTTAGCCTGCAGAAGAGAAGAATGAGGGGGGATTTGATAGCTGCTTTCAACTACCTGAAAGGGGGTTCCAAAGAGGATGGCTCTAGACTGTTCTCAATGGTAGCAGATGACAGAACGAGGAGTAATGGTCTCAAGTTGCAGTGGGGGAGGTTTAGATTGGATATTAGGAAAAACTTTTTCACTAAGAGGGTGGTGAAACACTGGAATGCGTTACCTAGGGAGGTGGTAGAATCTCCTTCCTTAGAGGTTTTTAAGGTCAGGCTTGACAAAGCCCTGGCTGGTATGATTTAACTGGGAATTGGTCCTGCTTCGAGCAGGGGGTTGGACTAGATGACCTTCTGGGGTCCCTTCCAACCCTTATATATTCTATGATTCTAACCCCAACTAAATCATCCCAGCCAGGGCTTTGTCAAGCCGGGCCTTAAAAAACCGTGGGACCTGGGCTGGGGATGGGTCCTGGGCTGGCTGAGCTGTGGTGGGGCCTAGGCTGGAAGAGCCTAGATTGGTGGCGGGTCAGGGACCTGCCAACAATGAAAAGAGGCTGGACTTGCCAGTGGACTTGCTGACCCTGGCTGTGCCTGTAGTCTCTGGGAACAGCTCTCCTGGAGCTTGCATAGCATGTGCCAGCCCCGCTGGTGATGGACACTGGCTGCTCTGGGTCTGGAAAGCCACCCTTCCGGCTGGCCTTACCCCTGGGGCATTGCGTCTGTGGGAAACCTCCCTCCATTGTGCATCTTGGTCACAGGCACTCACCACAGTTGGGTCAATTCCTGTGCCACTTCAGTTTGCTTCAAGCAGCCCTAGGAATTAAAATAGAGAGGGGTCTGTGCCCTTTCCCTTCTTCTCCGGTGATGTGTAAGGTGGCCTTGAACTCAGCAGCTCTCTCTTAGGTACTTTTCTGGCCCCCATGGGTGTAATAGCTGAGCACCTCAGAGCCTTCGGAAATTAGAAAACAGGTTTTACGGTGACTGACTCAAGGAGCTCAAACTAGTTCGTTTAGACAAAGAGAAGGTTTAGGGGTGACTTGATACAGTCTATAAATAGCTACATGGGGAACAAGTATTTGATAATGGGCTCTTCAGTCTAGCAGAGAGAGGTCTGACACAATCCAATGGCTGGAAGTTGAAGCTAATCACATTCAGATCGGAACTAAGGTGTACATTTGTTAGAATAATTAACCAGCGGAACAGCTTCCTAAGGGTTGTGGTGTATTCGCCATTACTGGCAATCTTTAAATAGTGATTGGATGTTTTTCTATAAGATCTGCTGAGTTCAACCTCAGCCATAGGATTTAGAACAGGAGTAATTAATGCAGGGACGCCATGTGGTGTGCAGGAAGTCAGACTCAATGGCCTTAAAATCCATTAATCTAATGTGTCCTCACCCACCCCTGTGGGGCAGTGCCCCTTCCCCATGGTACCATCAGGGAGCAGAGGCACAGAGAGATGGGTGACTTGTCCAAGTCACCCAGGAAGGCTGGGGTGGAACAAGGCACCTTAATGCTGCCCTGCAATAGCCATACAATTATCATTAAGGCAGTGTGAGTTTTGTGGGCCTAGTTTAGATTACACTGATTTAAAGACACCATCATTTTTCCTCTCATGGTGTATCCTGACCCTCATGTCTTGAACCCAGGTCTGTAGGGGAGGCCCCAACCCTCCACTCGGCAATGGAGCTGGCTAGCACTTACCTGGGACCCATGAAGCCCAGCCCCAGTGTGAGGCTCCACCCCTGAGGTCCAATTGGTAGAGTCCCATGGTGGCTGATTAGCCACTGGCCCTGCTGAAGCTGGCAGGGAGCTGTCTGAGCCACTGGGCTCCACCCTGCTTTGGACTGTGTGCCTTGTGGTCCCTGCTCCCGCAGCTTCATTCCTGGCATCCGACCTGGCTTGACTTCTGGCATCTGACCTGTGGTTTCTGAGTCCAGTTTGCCTCTGACCCTCTGGTATCCTAACCTGGCCTGACTCATGGTTCGAATCTCCAGTTTGTCTCCTGCAGCGGACTCTGGCTCTGATTTCTAGGTCTGGCCACCCATGCCCTGGCTGTGACATGGCAGAATTAGGGTCTGTGGGTGCTCTACCCCTTCTTACCTTAACAGATTGGGATTTAGAATCATAGAATATCAAGGTTGGAAGGGACCTCAGGAGGTCATCTAGTCCAACCCCTGCTCAAAGCAGGACCAATCCCCAATTTTTGCCCCAGATCCCCTCAAGGATTGAACTCACAACCCTAGGTTTAGCAGGCCAATGGTCAAACCACTGAGCTATTCCTCCCCCCCATTTCTGGGAAGTGTAACCTTAACTCTGAATTGCTTGGGTTTGCAATACTTAGTTTAGAGCTATTTACAGTGTCTTAACCATCATTTTGTCATACGTTACCCAGGCAATTGTAATCTGGCACTGGAGTGCGGGACTTTGCTACCTTAATAACGTAGTTGGATCATGGGCTGAGATGGCCTAAAGTGCCTGCAGGAGTTGGGTGCTCAACCCAACTCCCAGTGCAGTGAGCTTTGGGCACTGAGGGCTAGATCCAACACTTAGGCACTGCTGAGATCGTCCAAACCCTCACTCAGCTGCCACCTAAATTCCCTAGGCCCCTAAGTTTTTGCAGCTGGGCAAGTGGAAGCTGCCACATCCGGATGCTGTGTGCTCTGAGCAGGCCTAAACCCTCGCAAAAGACAGCTGTGGGTTAGCGGGTCAGGGGTTTTGGGGGTGGGCTGGCTGGTGTGGGTGTCCCAGAATACTCACAGGCCACAGGTAAGGCCTTTTGTGGGTCTAGTCGTGATTGTTGAAAGCCCCAGCAGCAGCGGATTGTGTGTAAAGAGGGGAAAGAGCAGGGTATGAGCAACAACTGGGCTGTTGGTTACTAGGGCTCCTTGTAGCAGCTTCCCTCAAACCGAGCAGGAGGGACAAATGAGCGGAGGCTGGGCAGGGCAGTGTGTGGTGCTTGTGCCCTGGGGTGTGCTGGCTGGTGCCGATAGGCTGTATAAACCAACCCGCTTCCTGGCTGTGTAGCCCATCTGCAACATGGCTGCGTCTAGTCTCATGTTTAGAGGGTTTGGCAGGTAGAAACCTACAAAACCTCTTTTGTTGTTCCTAGGCCTTGGATTCTGATCGAGCTGTACTGCAGAAAATGAGGAAAGCCACCAAAGCAGAGCATGCTTCTGGACAAGGTCAGAGCAGAGCCGGAGACCCAGAGTGGGCCAGGGGGCGGGAGGCTTGTCTGTTGGGCTGGAGAGTGGGCAGGGGGAGCTGGGGTTTTGGAGACATGCCCCCACGTTTGTGCCTGTTTCTGGGTATGTTGGAACCCCTCCAATTGCAGGGGAGTCCCCCAGTCCTGCCGCTCTCTCCACGCTCCTCACTGCCATCTGCTATCCAGCCCTGAGCCCTCCCTCCCAGCTTTGCAATGGACATCAGGGCTGGCCTCAGACCCTTTCTGCCCTCCTCACAGAAACCCTGCACTGAGCACTGGGCATGAGTGGGAAATGGGGCAGGTCAGGCCAGGCTGTGCCCTTGTGAGCACCCCAGCCACGGCCCCACAGCAATGCCCTCTGCTTGGCGAGCAGCTGAGGGGCAGAGACCACCCCTAGCAATAAGGGTGGCATTGCACAAGTACTAGCCATGGCATCACCAAACCCCACTGTGCCGCCCAGGTCGGCTTACACACCCCTGCTTGTGCCACCCAGCTCCCGCCACATCTCCCAGGCCAGACGGGCCTGGGGTCACTCGTGCTCACAGGCCCTGGCGCTCCCTGCCCAGCGGGGAGCCGACAGAGAGCGAGTGCCAAGCTGAAAGGAATGGCTTTCCCTGTCCCAGCCCGGCCCCCCCACACCGCTGACGGGGCTGGATGGGAGCGAGCTCTGTGCTGGAGCTTCGTCCTCCTCCCCTGCCGCCCCAGCACTGACCGGAGCGCTAGCCCGGGGACCCTGCAGTGCGCCAGGAGCAGGAGGAGGCAGCCCTGCTGCTGCTGAGGGGCACAGCCAGGGCTGGGGGCGGGGGGGACCCTCGCCAGAGGCTGTTTCTCAAGGGCACCTTCTGGGACCCGAGCTGCCTCCTGCAATACCTGCTCCACAGTGTCTGTGTGCCCAGTGCCCAGAGCGGGAGCCCACCGGCTCCAACCGCCCTGGTGCAAGGTCTTCCCGCACCACGGGGCAGGGGCTGTAGGAGACACACACCCCATCACCTCCTGCTCTGCCCCGCTCACCTGCCCACTGCCTTGCCCCTCCCCGACCCCTGCTCTGCCCCACTCACTCTCCCCATCCCCCACCCCTACCTTGCCCCATCCCCCAGCCCTGCCACTGTTCTGCCCCACTCACCTGCCCCACCCCTCAGCCCTGCCTTGTCCCTCCCCACACCCCCAACCCTGCTCTGTCCCACTCACCTGCGCATCTCCCAACATTTCCCCTGGTTTGCCCCACTCACCCGTCCCATCCCCCATTGCTGCTCTGCCCCAGGCCCCGAGCCCTGCCCCTGCTCCCCTCACCCCCAATCCCCACCTTCCCCCTGCACTCACCCATCCATCCCCCCAGACCCAGTGCTCCTCTCCCCCACTTGACTGCCCCTTCCAGCCCTGTCCTACTCTGGCCTAGACACTGACAGCTGTCTGGGGAGCGGGTTGAGGTATGGATCACTGGACAGCCGATGGTAGCTTCCTTCTCTGCTCTCCTTATCCATGTTGATTGGGGCTTTGGTGTTTGTGTGCCTAGATCTCGCTTGCCACATAGAAGCTCATATTGCAGCCCAGGAAAAATTCTCCGCAAACTACCAGAGTGATGGTGACGAGCAACTGGCCAGTGCCTTCACCTCCTTTGCCGAGTTCTCCCAGAAGCTGCTGGTCCCAGTCAAGGGTCTGGTAAGAATTGCTGCCCAAGTGCCTCAGGCCTGAGTGCTCTCCCAGCCACAAGGCGTATGTCAGGGGTAGAAGGCCCAGTTGGTTTCCTCACCGAGAAATGAAGCCACTGTCATATGGACAAAACAGCATGTGGTGGTGTAATTGTGGACTGGGTTGTTGTAACGCTGTCGTGCTCAGAGCGTGAGTCCCGCCTCAAGGCGGGCTGTTAGGACGCAGGGCCTAAACCCCTCGTTGGTGGGGAGCTCTATACTCGGATATCACCCACCAATCCTCAGGCACTGCAACGGCCGAACCATGAAGTCAGATACAGTCCCCTTGGCTGCTCCCATCTGTCTCGTCACCGAGGTGAGCCTGCCTCTGTGATAGCTGGCCCTTTACAGCAAGAATCACAGCAATATTCAGGCTACTCCTAGTCCCAAAGAGCCAGTCGCTTACCCCAAGTCTGTTCCACCTTAGATCTCACACCAAAGACAATGCTTGTAGCCAGTCCTATAATAAGCTTTATACCAATATATTTACTAGGAAAAAGAAATGAGTTATTTACAAGGTGAAAGCAGGTAAACATAGATACACAAATGAGTTCCAATCTCAAGTAACAAAAGGTAATAAAAGCTTCTATAATCAGCTCTGTATGTTCCTTAGGGCTAACCCAGGCTAAGCAGCTGGGGATCCTTTGCTTATGCCTTGAAAATTTTGTCCCCCAGAGTCCAAGCAGCATAGAGATCTCGGGTTCCTTTTGTTTGGCATTTTTATCTCCCTTCTGCCATGTGCTGTGAGCTGCAACCTCAGTTCAGTTGATGGGAGGAGTCCACTTGCTTGGCTCATCTTCATGGGGAGAAGGCAGAACAACAACAAAATCTTTTGTCTTCTTTTTGCAATATCCCCAACAGTCCATCTGGTATGGATGGCCCCTTCCTTTTGGGAAGGGAGAAACACTTGTTAGAGGTCAGCCCTTCATACTAGTCAGTGGCTATCCCTGTTTGGTCATTTACACAGTCATAGAGACTCACAAGACAAAGTGTTCAAATATCACCATCCAATCTGGGGTACAATGGTATAGGTGAGATTGGTGCAGGCAGCTACGCAGGAGCATTCAATAAAGTCTGAGCATTAAACACATTCTTGTGATTCTTATCATTCTAATAGCTGTTACAACATCGCAGGGGAGCCAGCCTGATTTCAGCTCTATATTTGTCAGGGTTCAGTTGAGACTGAGGGTGTTTCGATGGGCAGCTGCAGGAGGTGGATCCATTTTGCCTGTGCCCCGGCTGCGGGTTCCGTGCCATGGGGGCTTCTGAAGCGAGGTTGGAGACAGAACATGTGCAATGCGCAGGAACGCTGCAGGAGCTTGGGAGAAAGCCCAGGCCAAGCTGGCTGTGTGAATCGTTGGCAGGCAATGGTGACTTTTAATAGTGTGTAATTCAAGCAAATATGAATAGACTTTCTGAGGTCCCCAAAAGGTCCCTCCTGGGGCCCAGGCCCACCCTCCTGCCAAATTCTGAAGGGCCAGCGCAAGCCATGGGGACGTTAGAGCGCTTCGCCACACCTGCAAGAGCGGTTTATAATGGAAAGCGTTAGGCAACTGAACCACAAGTGCCCATTGTTCTGTCCTGCGATAGCAGAGAGGGACAATAGCTCCATAGCTCCCGCCTCTCGGGGCGGTGCCGGACCTAGGCCGGCAGGAGAAGCTCTCCTGTTGGCGTCGGCAGCATCTTCGCCGAGCCCTACTGCGGTGCAGCTGTGCCGCTGCAGTACTGTAAGTGTAGACACGCCCTGAGTCCCTTCAAGGAAGGGCTTTTAGCTCTGCTCTCCAGGGGCCCAGTGCCATTCACTGGGCCGTGGCTCCTGTACTATTCTTCAGGCAGCCCAGCCACCCAGCCTACACCTCTTGCTCCCCTTATCCCCTCGCCACAGGCAGGACTCCTGCTCTGGTTCCCAGTCCCTGCTGCCTGTCTCCGTGGAGCAATGCAGGGAGCATACACAGGTTTCTAGTTAAGACCCCTTGTGCGAGGAGCTTAAGAGAAAGTGGCAGCTACAGACAGGTCAAAGCAGGGCAGGGAGACAAAAATAAATGTCAGGCATCTGGTTGCAGCAAAATGGTGAATTCTGGGGCAGAAATGATGAATTCCATGGCCAGATTACTTGGCCACAGAATCAGAGTCCCTGGAGCCCAGACTGAGATGAAAGGGGCAGTTCACACCTTTCAGAGTTACTGTTTCAGGCTGTCTGCAGACTCAGGCATGCACACTACATCAGTCATACTCAGTTAACATTCTCCAGGTTAACAACGTTCATTTAAAAAAAGTGAAAACTCAGGTTTTGGAGCGCAGCTCTGCACAAATGGTGACTTCTTCAGCAAAGTCGATGACTATGGTCTTGTGAAGTACGGGGCCCCTACCACACCAGCACCTACAAAAAGAAAGATAAGCACTGAGCCTGCAGTTCTTGCTGGGAGTAGTTCCTGGATGGGGGTAAGAGGCAGTCCTAGTAGCATGTGTTTGCAGGTTGAGCCCTCTGGTTTGACCCTACTTATGACTTTCATTTCAATATGTTCTGCCCCAGAGGAGGCTCTGTGACAGACGGACAATATCCTGCAATATCCTGATGGAATGAGGATAAGCTTTATTGAGTTAAGTTAAACCGTATGGAATTGGGATTAGCACCTTTGGGCACAGTGTGAAAAAGGCAGTTGTGGCTGTGTTGTTGTGGCATTGTGTGCCTCTTCTCTAGCAGGGAGGGGGGATACTAATGTACCTCCTCCATTCCCAGCCCTTTGAAGTCATCCCCTGGGGAGAGCTGCATATGCTTGTGCAGACTGGATTCTCCAGAGCCCACCAGACAAAGAACAGACTTTTGCATAAAAGCCTGGGGTTTAACCTGCCTTAGGGCTTCTCCCTGCTCCAGCAAATGGGCAGGACCCCTGGAGCCCAGAGGGCCCCAGTTCTTAGGGGAGGGTTGGTAGGACTTGGCCTACTGGGTGCTTGTTCTGAGCTGAAGCTCTGATGACCGTGTACCACAAGGAGGCTCCTAGGGTGTGATATTAAAAGCCTGCACTTGCCAGAGCCCAGGAGGGAGTTGGGGTAAGTTTGGTGAGCTTATTAGCATGCGGGTAGGTTCTTTTGCTCTTTCACTGTTTTCTCAGTAATGCTTTGTACCCTAGGAATAAACTTGGCCTGCTTAGGAAGAGCTTTGTGGTAACTTGTCTCTGTGGCAATTGCACTGTTCTCTGTCTCCGAAGAGAAAGCAAACAGGTGTCCTTGGGCAGCCAGTCTGCGCTGGGAATGACACAGTGAAGACAGGGTGCTGTACACCCTGGGAGTGCCCTGCTCAGAGGGGAGAGAGCTGCGGGTCTCCACCCAAAAGGGCAATGGCTGGGGAGCTACCAGCCTGAGAGTGAGTGCCTTTGCTGAACCACAGAGGGGAAATCCAGGTGCAGCCACCTTGAACCGCGATCTCTATGGTGGCAGCATTGGTGGGATCTCTAACAATGTCAATTGCATAAATGCCAACAGCAGCAAAAGCAAGTTACTTAGACAGGAACGGCACAGAGAACAAAGCCTCAGTAGTCTTTCTGGGGTAAGGCACAGTGAAAAGGGAGATGGGGAAAATGAATTATGAACAACTGAAGACAAATCTGTTGGTTGAGCTATGCAGGGAAAGGGAGATTAGCCCTGAAGATAGAGCAAAATCATATTTAGTGATTTGCTGTATTCGTATGACCAGTCAAGGAATGATGGTCCACGTTCACAGAGAACCTCCAGTCGACTGACAGAGGGCCCAGTAGACGGAGAATTTTGGAGCCAACGCCCTGGAGAGAAACAGGGAAGAGGCTGACAGTCAGCTACTGTGTTCTGTCCAGACCAAGGCCACCACTGCAAGAGGGGTGCTGGACGCTCAACAGCTGGAGCAGGAGAGGCTTCAGCTGGAGAGGGACAGAGTGCATCTGGAAACCTTGCAGCTTGCAGACCTTGCTCTAGCAAGAGAAAGCAGTCTGGGACCCGCAGCAGTGCCAGTAAGACCAAACGCCAGCACAATGCCACAACAGAGAAGAGAGAAAAGGACAGGGAGCATCAATATCAGATCAAGATGGCGAAACTGTTGCAGCAGAACCATTGTCCAGCAGGTGGAGCCAGACGCCAAGGACCTGTGCCCGTGGGTGGCATAGACTCCAAATGACTTCCTCGCTATGTGAATTAAATAAGCTCAGACAAGGGGACATAGTAAGGGACCTGGGTCCACTGCTTGCTAGGCAAAGGCCCTGGACATCGTTACCCTTATGGGAAGACTGTAACGATTATGACAATTGAAAACAAGTTTTGTGACGTTTAAACTGACCCCTGAAGCATATTGGAGAAGGTTTCGGGCAGCTCAGAAGAAAGAGGACATAACCTATATTGAGGCATCAGCTCGATGTGGAACTGGTTACCACGGTTCATGAGGCCTCTGAGTTAATGGGTATAGAACAGCAGTTCTTAAAGTGTGGGGCACGCCTCTCAAGGGAGGCACGGGAATGTGTAAAGGGAGGCGCAAGCTCTCTGTGTGTACATGTGTGTGTTTTTTAATAGCTCCAGCAATCAGCTTGGGCTACCACTGTCACAGCGGGGCAGGCTGTGACTCTGGCTCTCAGTCCTGGCTCCCGCTACCAGAGCCGCAGCCTGCTCCACGGTGACAGCGGGAGCCTGGGATGACAGGGGGAGCCACAGCCACACTGGGCACTGCAGGGCTCTTCACTAGTCCCACACAGGACTCTCTTAGCAACTGTGACAGGTCCTTTGTGTGGTTTTCCCCACAAGAACTTAAAACCATTAGCAGCAACACACTGACAGTGAGAAAGAGCTTACCCGAGAAATGGATGGTTTTGTGACAAAGGGAGTAAAGTGTACAACACAAGCCAAAGCGAGGGCAGCAGCAGACGTTCCAGCAAAATGCAAAAGCCGAAAATACGACTAAGCTTATTTCAAACTGGGCTTTACGTGGAGCGGGTCCAGCAATGCACCGAGGCTTCAATGTGTTGTATGTGGCGAAGAACTGGCAAACGACAGTATGTGGCCCTGCAAGCTACGCCAGCATCTCAAAACAAGACGTGCTACCTGAGTATCTAAACCTGTAGAGTTTTTTCAGAGGAAGCTCAGTGAGTTAATAGGACAAAAGTTGTTGAAGTGTACAGTGTTAACATAAAGGCTACTGAGGATTCTTACTGCATGGCTTTGTGCATTGCCAAAGCTGGTAGACTGTACAACATAGGTGAGAAACTGCTACTTCCAGCTGCAAAGGATACGTGCACAGTGGTGATAGGAGAATCATAGAATATCAGGGTTGGAAGGGACCTCAGGAGGTCATCTAGTCCAACCCCCTGCTCAAAGCAGGACCAATCCCCCAACTAAATCATCCCAGCCAGGGCTTTGTCAAGCCTGACCTTAAAAACTTCTAAGGAAGGAGATTCCACCACTTCTTTAGGTAACGCATTCCAGTGTTTCACCACTCTCCTAGTGAAAAAGTTTTTCCTAATATCTAACCTAAACCTCCCCCACTGCAACTTGAGACCATTAGTCCTCGTTCTGTCATCTGCTACCACTGAGAACAGTCTAGATCCATCCTCTTTGGAACCACCTTTCAGGTAGTTGAAAGCAGCTATCAAATCCCCCCTCATTCTTCTCTTCTGCAGACTAAACAATCCCAGTTCCCTCAGCCTTTCCTCATAAGTCATGTGTTCCAGCCCCCTAATAATTTTTCTTGCCCTCCACTGGACGTTTTCCAATTTTTCCACATTCTTCTTGTAGTATGGGGCCAAAAACTGGACACAGTACTCCAGATGAGGCCTCACCAATGTCAAATAGAGGGGAACGATCACGTCCCTCCATCTGCTGGCAATGCCCCTACTTGTACATCCCAAAATGTCATTGGCCTTCTTGGCAACAAGGGCACACTGTTGATTCATATCCAGCTTCTCGTCCACTGTAACCCCTAGGTCCTTTTCTGCAGAAGCAGCATCACAGCTAGACATGATCCTACTTTCCAATGACACAGTTTCACACCATGTTGTGGAGACGGCCCCTGATGTAAAAGAGCTGCTCCGAGAAAGTGTTCGCAGAGCCCATATTATTCAGTTCAGATTGATACAGCTACTGGTGTATATTTGAATTGCTATAGCAACAGAATTAAAAGAGGGATTTCTGTTTTGCCATCCACTTCCAACACAAGCAACTCATATAGAACTTTTTCAACTATTAAATAATTTTGTCCAAGACACTGGTCTTGTTTGGGGATGTTGTTTTGGAATGCAGCCATGGAGCATGGTCTATGACAGGATGGCATAGCGGGATTGTGAGAGAGGTACAAGAAGTGGCCCCTACAGATACCTGGAATCATTCTATGGTTCACAGAAAGGCATTGGCTGTGAAGACGATGCCAGAGGAGCTCAGCAGTGTTCTTTCAGTTACAGTAAAAATTATAAACTTTATAAAGTCGCGTCCGGTTAATTCAAGGATTTTTGCCATTTTATGCAAAGAGATGGGGGCAAACTTCACACAGTTGTTACATGCAAAAGTTTGTTGGCTGTCCCTGGGCAAAGTGCTGACAAGGCTATGTGAGCTGCGTGAGGAAGTCCGTATTCTTCTTGCTGATACCTCTCCGCTTGAACAGCATTTCAGTGACATTCACCAGATATACTTGTTGTCATATCTGGCTGATATATTCGAGCGACTGAATTCTCTGAATGTGGCACTTCAGGGACGAGATGTTAATGTTCTCATTGCTAATGATCGGATAGCAGCATTCATTAACAAACTTGAACTGTGGTCTTCATGTGTGCAGCAGGGATCTCTCTCCATGTTTTCAACACTGGAGGATGTTGTGCAACAGTGCAGTGATCTATCTGTTGACAGCATCCAGGATGTAAGTCTTCAGCACCGAGGGGGACGGCAGGAGCCGTTTTCTGAATACTTTCCTGAAGTGGGTACAGACCAATGAAATCAAGGGACCAGGAACCCATCAGCTTTAAGCCGAACCCCACAGCTATGCTGTCTTCAAAAGGAGAGGAAAGCCTTATTGTCCTGTCAAGTGACAAGGAACTGCAGCACAAATGTGAGATGCAGACTTTTGGGTATCAGTGGGATCTGAGTTTTGTGAGTTAACACATGGGGCTCTTAAAGCCCTTGTTCCTTTTTCAGCTACCTAACTATGCGAGTCATCTTTAACCACAATTCCAAGTATTGCTCCTGGCTTTCTGTTGAAGATGACTTACGTCTTTTCCTTCCTGCACGGCAACCCCAAATTCCAGTACTTTGTATAGTGAGAAAACACACACAGTCCTCCCATTGACAAGACAGGACTGATGGAAATTATACTGAATTAATACACCATTGTTTGGTGTCATGTTTCCTAAAATATGTGTGACATTTTATTTTTGCTGCTTCCATTTGTACTGTTTTTGAACTGAAAATTAATACTTCTGAAACTCACACTGGTCTATAATTGATCAAATCTTTACTTTTTTATTTATTTTTGGTGGTAACTTGTTTCTGTAGCAATTGCACTGTTCTCTGTCCCTGAAGAGAAAGCAAACAGGTGTCCTAGGGCAGCTGGTCTGTGCTGGAAAAGGCAATAACTGAGGAGCTGAATGCCCGGAGTGGCTGCCCTTACTGCGGGATACAGCTGACCTGCCCTGAACTGTGACAGGCTCCTCCCCCAGGATTTGATTTTTCCAAGTCCATCGGCAAAGTGAAGCCAGTGTCCTTTGTCCCAAGTATTCAAAAAGCCTGAGTTAGGCCTTCCAACAGTCATGAGATTTTAAAACATAAACAGGTTCTTTCACTTTGCCTTCTGCTTTTGAGCCTGTAGGCTGCACTCAGGTCATGTTTCCATGCTTTTCTCCACAACAAGGAGGACTAGAAACTTCCTTTTTTAATGGAAGCTGATGGTCTCATCTATTCACATGACTCGAGGAGCTGGGGCTTTAAGAAAACTACCAAAGATTGGAAGAGACATGACAGCTGCAGTGCTGTGTGGGGAATGGTTTGTATGGAGCTAAGTGCTTTGGGCTACATTCACAAGGGGGACCTGGGCATTTCAACGCCAACTCCTAGGGACCCTGCCACCTTGTGGATTCCTCATCCCCAGTTAGGCTCCTTACTCCCCATGCCATGCCTGGAGAAGTGGGGACCCTAAGAAAGGGTTGCTCAGGTGCCAGCCTGCTGAGCAGGGAGCCACTTGGGCCAGCCAGTGGAAAATGCCAAGGAGCCCCAAAAAGAATTAGGCCTTTGCTCACAAAAAATGACAGAGGTGGTGCTGTGCCCAGACCACTCACCTGGGATGGGGGAGCTCTGGGTTCAAATCCCTGCTCCAGATCAGGCAGATTTGAACCTGGGTCTCCTACACCCCAGTGCGTGCCCTACCCCATGGCTATTGTGGGAGGAAGGCTCTGAGTATGCCTATTGGATTGGCCCCTGCAAGCAGTTACATAGAGAATGTCTCATTTGAGACTCCCGCTAGGGCTAGGCATGAGTGAGGGTGCCGAGCTGCTCAGCACTGTCCTCAGGACATAGGCAGTTCTGCGCACGCTTCTTGGGAATGTAGGGAATATATGTGGCAGCTGAGTAGGGGTTGTGTGAATGCCAGTGGTGCCTGCATGTTGGATGTGGACCCCTAAAGAGCAGGTAGGCATCAAAATCCCCTTGTGAATGTAGCCCTTTGGGCAGGTGCTGGCTCTTATTATGTCTTTGTACAGCACCTAGCACAATCAGACTCTGATCATAGCTGTAGCCTCCAGATTCTTCTGAAATACAAATGATACAGAGCCTGATCCTCCTCACCTGTGTAGCTCTGTCAACTCCTGAATTACACTGCTCAGAATCCGCTCCCTGCTGGGAACACACTTGTAAGGGTTGGAGTTAAGGCTTTAATTGCATTTTGAGTTAGACTTTGGTTGTGGTTTGAAGTTATCGGGGTGTCTGATATATTCAGAGAGTAGGATAGATGGTGAAATGACTTAATCTCGTTTCCTTGCAGTGTTTGTCTTGTTTCAAAAATCCCTTGTATAGTGATAACTGAAAGCCAATGAGGTTTCCTGTCTGGGAATTAGAGCTGGCACGTGACCTCTCCAGTTATGGTTGGCTAAATGTATTCATTTTAGAGGCCCTGGTTTAGTTGCTTATAACTTGGTCAAGTTTCATCTTTCAGCCTGGAATTTTCCAGCTCTGGTTTCTGTCTGAGGGCTTTTTTCTCTTTAAAATATGAGCAGAATTGTTTTTTGAGAATTAAGAAAAGGAAAAGTAGCCAACGTTTTTCACCCATATCAAACTCTCTTTCTCTCTCTGAACTGCTCTGGAAGCTCTGTGTTTGGAGTGGGACAGACATGTGCGTTCCAGAAGGCTGGTGAAAATCCCCTTGGATTTGGTTGTGGGAGAATATTTTCCACTCTGCCCTTTGCCCATGAACACCGGCCTTTCCCTCACAACCTCCCAGCTACCTGCACCATGTGAGGAACCAGCAAGGGAGTCTCAGCCCCTGCCCCACATGCCTGAGGGTGCGTGGGACGAGACAGGGCTCCTTCTGACACCTCCACACCCTGCCTGCTCCAGGTGGGGTGGAGGTTGCTGTGTTTGTCCTCCAGCTGCAGAATCAGGGCCCGAGGGAAAAGATGGCAAACAACAGAATCCATAAGAAAAGTGCTTCCCCAAGGAGCCATTCTCCAGGGCGAGAGCGCTGAGGGGGATCCTCCTGCAGGCTGCAAAGTGGGTGTGAACCACTGCCTGGCTTTGTGCTGGGCGGATTCACAATGCAGGCTTCAGAGTCTCTCTCCTTTCTTTCCAGTTGCAGAGCTTGTCTCACAACATTAACTTTTCCCTGGACTCGCTGGTAAAGAGAGATTTAAAGGAGCTCAAAGGGGTGAGTCGATGCTGAGCGGGCCTGCCAGGATGGCCCCTGGGAGAGGGGTTGCACCGTTGAAGGATGTTCCCTGCCCCGCGGTTTCACCAGTAGCAGGCAGGAGACTGGGCTGTGAGCTCTGTGGGAGCAGCTGGGCCCAGCAGTGCTCCGGAGCCCTTGGGAAAACTCCGTCTCTGTCTCCAGGGCCCTGGCACGCAGCCATCTGCCGCTGCTGTTCTCCAGCCTGCCCCAGCCTCTGAGCAGGATGCAGGCATAGATGCGATTGACAGCAGGGCAAAGTCCCCGCCCACCTCTTCACTCCTCCCACTTCTCTGACCCAATTTGCCTGCAGCCCTTTGGCTGAACCAAGGGGTGTCATGAGAGTTCCCAGGGAACAAAAGAACCTGTTTACCCCTAAATACTTCATAGCTTCCCATTACATCACCGCGTGAGCATCCCCCATGGCCTCCCAATCAGCTCCCTCACTGGATGAGCGTGCACCCTCCTGCACTGAGTGTGCATGGCATCCCAGAAATCCCTTACCGGCCACCCCCCGTGACTGCGTGTCCCCATGGCTTCCCAGGGACCCCCTGGCGAGTGCATGTCCCCAGGACCCCCCAGGGAGACCCTGTTGAGCGCATGTCCCCAGGGTTGCCAGCCCTCCTGGTTTTGCTGGCAGTCTCCTGGAATCAGGCTCCATCTCCCAGAGGCTATTGAAGCCAAACCAGGAGATTTTAGTCCAGCAGCGCAGCGGGGCTAAGGCAGGCTCCCTGTGTGCCCTGGCCCCATGCTGCTCCCGAAAACGGCCAGCATGTCCCTGCAGTCCCTGGGAGGGGGCAGGGAGTCTCCACACACTGCTCCCAGCCCGAGCGCCGACTCTGCAGCTCTCATTGGCCGGGAACTGCGGGGGTGGTGCCTGCAGACAGGGGCAGTGCATGGAGCCCTCTGCCCCCCCAGGGGCCACAGGGACATGCCGGCTGCTTTCAGGAGCGGCATGGGGCCAGGGCAGGCAGGGAGACTGCCTTAGCTCCGATGCGATGCCACCTGGGAGCTGCCTGAGGTAAGTGTTGCCCAGCTGAAACCTGCAAACCTCACCCGCTCCTGCACTGCAACCCTCTGCCCCAGCCCTGAGCCCTGTCCAGAACCCAAACTCCCTCCCAGAGCCCACACCCCTCACCTCCTCCCACACCCTACACACCTGCCCCAACCCTGAGCCCCCTCCTGGAGCCAGCACCCCAAACCCCCTCCCACACTCCAGCCCCATGCCCCAGTCCTGAGGCCCCTCGCATACCCAAACTCCCTCCCAGAGCCTGCACCCCAAACCCCCTCCACCCCAACCCCCCGCCCCACCCCACTGAAAGTGAGTGAGGGTGGGGAAGAGCGAGCGATAGAGGCAGGGGGGATAAAGAGCGGGTCACGGCCTTGTGGAAGGGGCGATGCAGGGGCGGGGCATAGGTGTTTGGGTTTGTGTGATGAGCAGTTGGCAACCCTAGTGTCCCCATGGCCCCCCAGGAAGCCCCCAGGTGAGTGCATGTCCCCCATAGCCACCCAGCGAGCCCCCCTGTGAGTACATGGCACCCCTGGTCTCTCAGCGGGACATCCCTGGGTGAGTATGCACCTCCTGTGACCTCCCAGCGGGGTCTCCCCTGGTGTGAGTGTGCACCTCCCATGGCCTCCGAGTAAACCCTTGCCCCCGCCCCAGTCAAATCATGCCCTCTGTGGCCTTCCCCAGGCAAATGTACACCCTTGTGACCTCTCAGTGGAGGCCCCTTTGATGGGAGTGTGCGGCCTCTGTGGGCTCCTCGCCGCCCCCCCCCACCCGATGTTTCCTGCCCACCCCCCGTGGTCTCTAACATGCGCTCTCCCAGGGAGCTCCCCCCACTATATGTTTGTGTGTGCACGTGGTGGCTATGGGTGTATCTGTATATGTGTGTTGCTGGGTGTGCATGCCTCTCCTACTTTCATAGATTCCAAGGCCAGAAGGGCCCATTGTGATCATCTAGTCTGACCTCCTGTATAGCACAGGCTAGAGGATCCCCTGGAACATTTCCTCTTTGAACTAGAGCTGAACTTTTAGAAAAACATCCAATTTTGGTTTAAAAATTGCCACTGGTGGAGAATCCACCATGACCCTTCGTACATGTGTGTGTAAGTGTGTGTTGCTTTCAGGTGTGCTTCTCTGTATTGGTATATGTGTGTGCACGTGCCCATTATTCGATGAAGATGGTAAAATTGTTAATGATGCAGAAGAGGTAGAAGTGTTCAATAAATATTTCTGTTCTGGATTTGGAAAGAAGCAGGATGATGTGCATGTGTCACATGAGGATGAAGAAATACCTTCCAAGTAACCTTCCATTAGTAACTGAGGATGTTAACACCAGCTGCTAAGGATAAATATTAAACCCAAAAGTTCTAAAGATGTTGGCTGAGGAGCTCTCTGGCTCATTGATGTTAATTTTTAATAAATCTTGAGTATATAAATACCTTCTCTGACAGGGGCTGTGGCTGAATGTTGTTCAGGCTCCAGGATCTTGATACACCTCTGGGAATCCCGAGCATAGAGGCTGAGATTGCCCTCACAGCAATCCCAGGGGGAGGCCAGGAAGAGGCACTTGCTAGAATCTGGGACAGAATGTTAATAGCTGTGGGATACTGGGACAGCTAAGCAACATTGTGGCCCAGGACTCCACGGAGAGCAAGGAAACTAGGCACTGCTAATAGGTGGTAGGTTTCAAAACTCTGCAGGGGAAGGGAAACTGAGGCACAGCTGAAACATGAAGTGTCAGAGCTCCCCTGGCATGAGGGTGACTCTGGGTAGTAAAGAGTGCTATCAATTAATGATGCTTGGTAGAATGTGGGAAAAGCCCTAGAGAGGTGTGAAGCAACCGCTGGGTGGAGTCTTGAGGTTAAGGAGGGAGAAAATTGCCCCTTAATCTATGGTTTCATGTTGGTCAGTGGAGGTGTAATTAAACCTGAGGGGGATGGGGGAAGCAAACACACTTCACCTCGCCCCAAGGGGGTGTGACATTGGGAACTGATCTAGAATGTTGTCATGAAACTCTGTTTTGGGGTGGTGATTGGAACTGTTTATCTGTTTGTTGACTGACTGTATGAAGTTTAAATTAATAAGAAGTAAAGCAGATATGCTGTTGAAAGGGGGAGGGTGGGCAGAACACCCTTGGAGTACTTGTCATGTACCCCTGTTCTGTTCTTTTTTGAAAGGGGGAGAAAAGTGATGAACTGTGGGCGCTGTCCTGGAGCTGACGGCTCTGCTGGGGTATGAGGGAGACTCCAGATGTCAGTCCCATGCCCAGCTGATTGCCAACAGGCGATGTAAGTAACGCAGTGTCTACGTGGACACTGTGTCACCCTAAATACATCGACCTAAGCACTGTGCCTTTCGCGGAGGTGGAGTTAAGTCGATGTAGTGGGTGACTGACATCAGTGGGAGCACCACTGTAGTGTGGATGCTGCCTTACGTTGACCTAACTCTGTAGTGTAGACCAGGCCTAAGTATAAAGAGCGTAGGGTTGATATATTGAATAAAATGTGTGTGTGCGTGCGTGTGTGTTGACTGCTTCACAACTGCTGTCTGCCCCTGAAAGAGTTGAAGTGTAAACCAGAAGCTTCCTGCTGTTGGGTGGAGTTCTGGCAGAGGGTCTGAAGGGTCAGCACTGCGCCCAGAGGGGCTAGGTGGCTGGACAGCAGGTTCCAACAGTTGGGGGTTGCCAGCTAGAAGGTCTGCAGCCTGAGAATGTGCTTAAGGGCCCCGAGATTCGGGCAGTGGTTGGGCTCTATTCAGACTCCAGGAGCTTGAAACCCCCTGGAAATCCACAGCACAGCTTGGGGGCAAAAGACCTATCTGGCTTTAAGATGAAACTCGATAAGTTTATGGAGAAGATGGTATGATGGGATAACATGATTTTGGCAATTAATTGATCTTTAAATATTCATGGTAAATAGGCCCAATGGCCTGTGATGGGATGTTAGATGGGGTGGGATCTGAGTTACTACAGAGAATTCTTTCCTGGGTATCTGGCTGGCGAATCTTGCCCATATGCTCAGGGTTTAGCTGATCGCCATATTTGGGGTCGGGAAGGAATTTTCCTCCAGGGCAGATTGGAAGAGGCCCAGAGGTTTTTCGCCTTCGTCTGTAACATGGGGCACAGGTCACTTGCTGGAGGATTCTCTGCTCCTTGAAGTCTTTAAACCACGATTTGAGGACTTCAATAGCTCAGACATAGGTGAGAGGTTTTTCACAGGAGTGGGTGGGTGAGATTCTGTGGCCTGCGTTGTGCAGGAGGTCAGACTAGATGATCATAATGGTCACTTCTGACCTTAATATCTATGAATCTATGATTCCCCTCGCAGCAATCCTATTGGGCAGCCAGGAAGGATCTGTGACACCTTCCTGGTGAGAAAATACCATGTATTAAAGGTTTCAGAGTAACAGCCGTGTTAGTCTGTATTCGCAAAAAGAAAAGGAGTACTTGTGGCACCTTAGAGACTAACCAATTTATTTGAGCATGAGCTTTCGTGAGCTACAGCTCACTTCATCGGATGCATACCGTGGAAACTGCAGCAGACTTTATATACAGACAGAGAACATGAAACAATACCTCCTCCCACCCCACTGTACTGCTGGTAATAGCTTATCTAAAGTGATCATCAAGTTGGGCCATTTCCAGCACAAATCCAGGTTTTCTCACCCTCCACCCCCCCACACACAAACTCACTATCCTGCTGGTAATAGCTCATCCAAAGTGACCACTCTCCCTACAATGTGCATGATAATCAAGGTGGGCCATTTCCAGCACAAATCCAGGTTTTCTCCCCCCCCACCCCCATACACACACAAACTCACTCTCCTGCTGGTAATAGCTCATCCAAAGTGACCACTCTCCCTACAATGTGCATGGTAATCAAGGTGGGCCATGTCCAGCACAAATCCAGGCTTTCTCACCCCCCCTTGTGTGTGGTTTTTGGTTTTAATCAAACACAAATTACTTGGCTCAATGCAGAGGTAATGGGATGAAACTGAATATCCCATGCTAGCCAGGAGGTCAGCTTAGATGATCTAATGGTCCCGTCTGGCTATAAAATCTACGTGCCTGTATATCCTTGTGTGCACACGTGTGTGAACATAAGTCTGTGTGGCTCTGGGTCTGTGTATACACATGTGGTCTGTGTGTGTGCATGTGTTTGGGGGGGGGTTCCTGTTTTAGCTTTCATGCACACTGCAGGAGCACCAGGGGAACTCACTCTCAGCGATGTGCAGAGTGAGGTGGTGCAGATTCTCCAGCAGGTGAGTGCAACAGTTTCAGTCCAGCAGCATGGGGGTGGGGGGCCGGGGGTAGCTGTAGAGAGCACTCTGGTGTCCTCTGCACAGCTTCCAGCCCCTGCAGGTTCGGAATGACACGTCCAAAGGATACCACTACATGGGACACACAGACCAGCTGACTTACTAGCCGGGCAGCAGACGTGGCCGTAACAAACAGGCTAGAGCGCACATTTGGGCCCTGACTAGGCAGGGTAGCAGCGCGGTGTGGTTTGCGTAGAAAGCTCTGCCGTGCCAGGGGTAAGGAACAGGGGGCATATTGTACGGGGCCATTGTCACTAATCACTTACCCGTCTCTTACCAGGACTTCAAAAAGCCTTTTGACAAAGCCTGGAAAGACTATGAGAATAAACTGTAAGTTGACCTGCCCCCTGTCCTCTTTACTCAGGCTCACCGGGAGCCGATTCTAATAAAGCCTGGCCCAAAGGAGCCTTTCAGGGTGTTTTTTGCCTTTCTTCAAGCACCAAGATTGAGAAGGAGAAGCGGGAGCTGGCAAAGCAGCATGGGCTGGTGCGGAGCGAGGTGGTGGGAGGGGAGATCGCTGAGGAGATGGAGAAGGAGCGCAGGATGTTCCAGTTAAACATGTGTGAGGTAAGGGGTGGGGGAGCAGCAGCATCACGAGCACCTAGAGCAATGACCCTGTCCACTGAGCAGCACTGGCCTCTTCTCTGCAACTCCCACCTGATGTGAACTTGGAAGTCTCAGCCGTGGGCTGTGGGAGGAAAGGTGCAGAGTGGCTCGGGGATGGGGAAGGGAAACTCTTGAAGAGGAAGACTCCTAATTCTCACATTGTTATGGGGTTTTTTTTAACTCCAATTGAATGTATTTGTGGGGATTATATCAAGGCCTCTTCCATTGCCAGCCAGCCTAGCTCCTGGTGGCTGCTTTTCAGCTTCTTGTGTGGCACAGAGATGTTCCTACTGTTCATTTTTGACCAGATGCCTTGTTTCCTGTAGTCTGATACCTTGTTGAATTTACAGAAATTACAACTGTGCCCATCCCCTCTCCCTTCCCCAGGCCCGTGAGCAGCGGGCAGAAGAGGCTAGGGGATGCTAAGCCTCCCCAAACAGGATGCGGCGCACCTCCCTTGGGAGGCATGCCGCCGGCCCGTGCCTTTGGAGCCCTGCCTCCAAAAGGGTGCCTGGGTCATAGTCTGGCCCTTGCTTTGCCCCAAGGCCCCGTGGTGCTCATCCTCTTCCCCCTGGCCCCGCCTGCACTGCTCCTCTTCCTGTCCCCACTCTGCCTCTTCCCCCAAGCCCTGTCCCGCCTGCCGCTCATGCCTCTCCACCCGCCGAGTGGTGGGCAGGTAGCGGGGCGGAGAGGTGCGAGCGGTTGGTGCAGGGTCTTAGGGGAGGGGGCAAAGAAGCGTGAGCGGCGGAGCTTGGGGGAAGGGCAGAGAGGCACGAGTGGTGGGAGGGGGCAGGGAGGGGCAGGCAGAGGGGCCTCAGGGCAGAGAGGGGTGGGATGGCCTTGGGGGAAAGGGGCCAAGCCTCGAGGCAGAGCAGGGGGCAGGGCCACAGTCTGGGCATCAGTGGCCCCCCACTTCTCAGGAGCTTCCAGCGCTCATGCCCAGCCTCCCCAAATGTGGGAGTCATGCGCTGCCCATGCCCAGGCCAACTGTATTTGTGTCCCCCCCTTCACTGGGTACAGAGCCCTTGCTATTCCTGACATCCAGACAGCTGCTTTGTCTGACTCGTGTGCTCCTCAGGTCTCGTCAGCTTCGCCCAGTGCCTCATGAAACGCCCCCAAGCCTCTTGTCTTTTCTGAGCAGCAGCCAGGTTCCACTGTAACTGATCTACAGCCTGTCCCTTCCCCATAATGCTCCCTGCTGCCTCATAAACATAACCCCCTCCTTGTTAAACGGTCTCCTCCTCCCCCACTGAGTCCCTGGAGTCCCCAGCCTAGCTGGCCCTGCATGGGGAACTGGAAGCATCCAGAGAAAGCTCCCATGGGGCCCTGGGTGTAGCCTTCATCCTAGCCATCTAAATGTAGCTTGCACAAGCTCCCTCCTCCTTGGAGGGGTCAGGGAGCACGCTTGGTGCAATGGAACATTCAGTGAATTTACAAGCAAGTAGAGAAGTTCCTCTCATGGATCGGTAACTGGTTAAAAATAGGAAACAAAGGGCAGGAATAAAGGGTCAGTTTTCAGAATGGAGAGAGGTAAATAGCGGTGTGCCCCAGGGGTGTGTACTGGGGCCAGGGCTGTTCAACGTATTCATAAATGATCTGGAAAAAGGGGTAAACAGAGAGGTGGCAAAATTTGTAGATGATACAAAACTACTCGAGATTGTTAAGCCCAGAGCAGACTGCACAGAGCTACAAAGGGATCTCACAAAACTGAGTGACTGGGCAACAAAATGGCGGATGAAATTCAGTGTTGATAAATGCAAACTAATGCACATTGGAAAACATAATCCCAACTATTCACACAAAATGCCAAGGTCTAAATGAGCTGTTGCCACTCACGAAAGAGATCTTGGAGTCATTGTGGATAGTTCTCTGAACACATCCGCTCAAAGTGTCAGTCAAAAAAGCTAACAGAATGTTGGGAATCATTAAGAAAGGGATAGATAAAAAGACAGAAAATATCATATTGCCTCTATATAAATCCATGGTGTGCCCACATCTTGAATGCTGTGTGAGATATATTGGATTGGAAAAGGTTCAGAAAAGGGCAACAAAAATGATTAGGGGTATGGAGCAGTTTCCATATGAGGAGAGATTAATAAGACTGGGACTTTTCAGCTTGGAAAAGAGATGACTAAGGGGGGATATGACAGAGGTCTATAAAATCATGACAAGTGCGGAGAAAGTAAATAAGGAAGTGTTACTTACTCCTTCTCATAACACAAGAACTAGGGGTCACCAAATAAAATTAATAGGCAGCAGGTTTAAAACAAAACAAAAGGAAGTATTTCTTCACACAACACACAGTCAACCTGTGGAACTCTTTGCCGGAGGATGTTGTGATGGCCAAGACTATAACACGGTTCAAAAAAGAACTAGATACATTCATGGAGGATAGGTCCATCAGTGGCTATTAGCCATGATGGGCAGGGATGGTGTCCCTAAACTCCGTTTGCCAGAAGCTGGGAATGGGCGACAGGGGATGGATCACTTTATGATGACCTGTGCTGTTCATTCCCTCTGGGACACCTGGCATTGGTCACTGTCGGACGACAGGATACGGGGCTAGATGGACATTTGGTCTGACTCAATATGGCCGCTCTTATCTTCTTAAGACTCTATGCTGAGCATGTGCAAATGGCAATTTTCTGCCCCTTATAACTCAGACAACCAAATCTGACCCATGTGTCAGGGGCCAGGGCAGCCGTCCGTGTGGCTCTTACCTTCTGCCCTCCAGCTGGAGCCGTGTCTAGGTAAGGGCCATGCATGGGCTGCTGTGGGGAGCCAAGGACCCTCTTGCCCTGGGCAGGGGGCCCACAGGGTGAGGAAACAGGCCAGAGGCTGTTCTCGACCCCACCCCCACCCCTGGCAAGTGGAGGGTCTGCAGCGCAGCTCCCCACAGCTGCCCAGGCTCCTGGCCAGGCTTCAGTTGCTGGCCTGGCTGGGGGGACGGGGGTTGGGGGGGAATAGGAGGGGCCCCTGCCAAAAAGTGGGAGGGCCATGGCCCCCTGGCCCCCACTATTCCGGCGCCACTGGATGGGGCACAGTTGGGACTACTCCTCACCCAACACTCCTGGATCCAGAACTATGCAGGGACCCCCAGCCAGGGTACCAAGGATCATGTGGTGCCCCCACTCCCTTGAGAAAGAAAGAAATCCCAGGGAGGAGCCAGCCCCAGGGTCAGAGAAACTCCTTCAACAGGAACAGGCACAGGACATGGCCTCTCTGAGGCCCAGGGTTGCCAACTTTCTAATTGCAGAAAATACCCTTGCCCCACCCCTTCTCTGAGGCCCCCGCCCAGCTCACTCCATCCTCCCTCCCTCTGTCACTTGTGCTCCCCACACCCTCACTCATTTTCACTGGGCTGAGGCAGGGGGATTGGGTGCGGGAGGGGGTGAGGGCTCCGGGGTGGGGCTGGGGATGAGGGGCTTAGGGTGCAGGAGGGGACTCTGGGCTGGGGCAAGGAGTTGGGGTGTGGGAGGGGAAGGGGTGAGGGCTCTGGCTGGGTGTATGGGCTCTGGGGTGGGGCCAGGAATGAGGGATTTGGGGTGCGGAATGTAGTCTCTGGGAGGGAGTTTGGGTGCGTGAGGGAGCTCAAGGCTGGGGCAGGGGATTGGGACGTGGGAGCGGGAGGAAGTGCAGGCTCTGGGAGGGATATTGGGTGTGGGAGGGGGATCAGGGCTGGAGCAGGGCATTGGGGTCTGGGATGGGGTGTGGGTGCAGGTTCCGGGAGGGAGTTTGGGTGCGGGAGGGGGCTCAGGGAGTTAGGGCGTGGGAGGGGCTGAGGGGTTCAGCTCCGGGTGGGAGTTTCATAGAATCATAGAATATCAGGGTTGGAAGGGACCTCAGGAGGTCATCTAGTCCAACCCCCTGCTCAAAGCAGGACCAATCCCCAATTAAATCATCCCAGCCAGGGTTTTGTCAAGCCTGACCTTAAAAACCTCTAAGGAAGGAGATTCTACCACCTCCCTAGGTAACGCATTCCAGGGTTTCACCACCCTCTTAGTGAAAAAGTTTTTCCTAATATCCAACCTAAACCTCCCCCACTGCAACTTGAGACCATTACTCCTTGTCCTGTCATCTTCTACCACTGAGAATAGTCTAGAACCATCCTCTCTGGAACCACCTCTCAGGTAGTTGAAAGCAGCTATCAAATCCCCCCTCATTCTTCTCTTCTGCAGACTAAACAATCCCAGTTCCCTCAGCCTCTCCTCATAAGTCATGTGTTCCAGACCCCTAATCATTTTTGTTGCCCTTCGCTGGACTCTCTCCAATTTATCCACATCCTTCTTGTAGTGTGGGGCCCAAAACTGGACACAGTACTCCAGATGAGGCCTCACCAATGTCGAATAGAGGGGAACGATCACGTCCCTCGATCTGCTGGCTATGCCCCTACTTATACATCCCAAAATGCCATTGGCCTTCTTGGCAACAAGGGCACACTGTTGACTCAAAGTTTGGGTGCAGGAGGGGCTCAGGGGTGGGGTGGGGGATTGGGGTGCAGGAGGGGGTGCAGGCTCTGGGCGATGCTTACCTCAGGCGGCTCCTGGGAAGCAGCTGGCATGTTCCTCCAGCTTGGGAGCGGAAAAGTGACTCCATGTGCCACCCCCGCCGGCAGGCGCCACCCCCACAGCTCCCATTGGCTGTGGTTCCCGGCCAATGGGCACTGCGGAGCTGGTGCTTGAGGCGGCGGCAGCACATGGAGCTGCTGTGGCTGCCCCCGAGCTGGAGGGACATGCCAGCTGCTTCCTGGTAGCCACGCTCCGGAGCCGGGCAAGGACCCTGCCAGCCCTGCTGCACCGCCAGCCGGACTTTTAATGTCCTGGTCAGCAGTGCTGACCGGAGCCGCCAGGGTCCCTTTTTGACTGGGTGTTCTGGTCAAAAAACGGATATCTGGCAACCCTACTGGGGCCCTCAGACACTGATGATGTCCCAGGACTCCAGATGGCTATCTGCAGCATTGCTATGAGCACACTTCTCCTGTGCTGAATTGGCTGCCAACTCCAGCTCCCTCCTATCCTCTCCTCACACAGTCTGACTCCCACGTGTCCCCCAGGGTCCTCTCCTTCTCTCCCTCCCCCTGTCTTTTCTCCCCTCCCCTCCCCTTCCCTATAATATTTGTAAGAGAAACAGGAATAAACTAAGCCAACCCTTTCTCCGCTTCCCCCACAAAAAAACTGAAAAAGGAAAGAACTGAATTGAAAAACAACCCGCCACCCAGAAGGGAAGAGAAACCCCAGCCCTACCATGCTGTTTGCTGCCCAGCACTCTGCCCTGCCTCTCCTGGAGTTGGTCTGTCTCTCTTCCTGGTCTCATTTCAATTGTTGGATTCATGTGCGGGAGCTGGGTGGAGGTGGTGACCTGGGCAATACTGGAGGTCAGACTTGATGGTCTAGTCATTCCTTCTGGCCTTAAACTCAGTGACTCCTTTTTTTGTGTGGGCTGTATGCTTCTCAGGGCTGGGCCTGTCTCCTGCTGCCACAGTGCACATAATAAGAAATGCAATACATGAAAAAGGCTGGAAAGTTATTCAGTATTGTTAAAATTACTTAGCTGTCATTGACCTCATCTCTGGAAACACCGTTTCCGCTGAAACTTTCCAAAATTATTGAGTTTGAGGCATATGTTCGGCATGAACAAGTTCAGCCCAACTTGTTAAAGTTTGGCATCGTTATAAGCAACTAAACCCAGGACGTGTTAGGTAACTTCCATACAGTAGTTGCTACCATTAGAAAGGAAGAAGCTTGTATCCCTGCTGGACTGGGTGGGATTCAAACCAGCCACACAGAGGCAAACAGGTCTGTAGCAACACCCTCAATCATCCATTCCCTCATAGGAGTGACCAGGAAAGGAAGGGGGAGGCTGCTTTCTGGAAAGATGAGTTTATTAACTCACATTCCAGCCACTTTGGAGCTCACGCAGGCTGAGTCTTCCCTCTCTGCACACAGGCAAAATCTCCCCCGCACTCCTAATCTCAAACGCACTGTCAGCCACACTCTATTCTTAAAGGGCCAGCTCCCATTAGCCAAATGCATGCCCTGAAAATGCAACAGTAAAAGAAACTAGCAGAACATCCACATTCACTTCTAATTACAAGGTTCTGCAATGTAAAGTCATTCCAGTAGTTACTTCAGGGTCCTTCCACTAATTGTTATACATACATATTTGAGCCTTCAACGCAAACCATTTCCACATTAATCACAGGAGTAACCAGGGCCTGTATGATGATGTTTTCTATGTTGGACCATCCGATAGGGAGCCACAACACACACAGAGGCAGTGGGTTACACAAATATTTGTGAGACAGTGGAACACTGGACATCAGAATTCTTGGTTTCTATTTCTGGCTCTGAAAATAAATTGTGCTGTACTGGTTACAGACTGGGTAGCTAAATGTAATACCACCTATTTGGGTCATCTCTGGGGTTTGAACCCAAGACCTCTGGATGTAAACACCTGAGTCACTGACACTTGACCTTAAGAACCAGACCTGTTCAGTATGGAAGTGTAGCAGAGTCATAACATTCTATATGTGGTCTAGCTTCTAGAGAGTAACCGAGCCACAGTGTGTTAGCATGGGATACACAATAACCTAGTTTGACATGCATATTCTGAGGTGTGTGGCAAAGTATAGGAGACTTGGCCTTCTAGTATGAACCCTGAGTTAGCATTAAATGACCTCACTCCCAGTCATCAGTGAATTTGTATGAAAGCTTGGCTCAAAATAAGAGCTGTGAAGAGCACGGAAGTGTTAATAGGAGCTAGTTGAATAGCTGGGGCTAGTCTCCAGGCTTACAGATGAGTGCACCACCTACTGGGCTACACAACACTGTGTTAGGCAGTCTTTGCTGGTCTCTGGCTTGCTTCTCAAGAAGTCTGTAGCTAGCACAAAATTGCAAGACTGCAGTAGTGGGGGCCAAAATCACATTATTCACAAGGGATGGCAACACGGAGGGTGATAAGTAAACAATGCAGAATCCAGCAGGTAACAAGAACCAACTCCTGGGTGTGTTTTCCCCTCAGTATCTGATCAAAGTGAATGAAATTCAAACCAAGAAAGGAGTGGACTTGCTGCAGAACCACATCAAGCATGGCAATGCTCAGTTCAAGTAAGAGTGATCGGTTATCTTTATTCCTTATCCTCCCTTTCTTTGCCAGTTTAACTGAGGAGACCTAGGCATTGATTTATTTTGCAGTGAACAAATATCCTGCAGTCACCCTCCACCTGTGTGGCAACATGCTCAGCTTCCTCTCCCTCTGGAGATGGTGTAGCCGTAGGACTCTCTGATAGTGTTTGTCCTGCAAGTTACAGTACTTGGTACTTGCGTTTTGACAGTACAATACAAAAGCAATTCGAGTGCTGACTTCCCACTCCTCGGTTTGTTGTCACTGGTTATGATGAGAATCTGGGGTTCCTGATAATAAGGTGTGTGAGGCCAGGACTGTTGGCCCAAAAGGGTTAATAATGACACTGCAAAGCAAAGGCTCTAAGGACTGCAACGCACCGCGGCATGTTTTGTACATGCAGCACTGTCAATGCTAGGAGGTTTAGTTCAAACCGTTCTCTCACATTCGCTTCTCCTGTTAGTTTTTTCCAGGAATGTTTAAAGGCAACAGAGACGCTTAAGCAGTTTATAGAGAAGCTCACCCCTGAGCTACAGAGAGTGAGTATGCCTCATAACGCCAGCTCACCGGGGACCAAGGCAAGAGGCGGGCATGGGCCCTGGAGCAAGAATGTCTACCCCCTAAAGTCTCTTTTTACCCCTAAGGAGGCTTCTCATATGTCCAATTTTCTGGGTCATGACCTCGGTTTTGGTCTGCCAATCTCTGTCCAGGTGGATTTTTAAAATATTAGCAATTGTCTAGGATTTCTCTCCCCCTGCCCCCCAACCCCACGTGGGGGGCTGACAGCTGGAACTGCAGCCTCCCCGCCAAATTCTTCAACCCCTCCCTCTCCCCCCAGTACCCCCTCTTCCCCTCTCCAGCAGTATCCTCTTTTTGGGAACCTGAAACATGTTAGTCCTACCCCATAGGAAGCAGAGAAGGTTTAAAGGCTAAGTGGAAAGTTCCCAGGGCTTGAAAGCTAGGATAAGTAGATACAGCTCATGAAAAGATTTGAGGATGCTACTATACACTCCATAGTCCTATCATCTTTTTTAAGCGTTTCTTTTGTTATAACTCTCTGATGAGGATCAGGATGCAATCCTCTTTTGGGTGAAGTATTCATCTTTAGTGCTGAGCCCTCAGTAACACTGCAGGTAATTTTGGAGCCTTCTTTACATGCTTTCCCCACAGTAACTTGGAGTTTAAAAGCTGTACAGCTGGCTGGTTTTGATATTTTGCATGGAGACTGACTTCACCAGCCCAAGGCGGGTTCTCCAGAAAAGGCTCAGTGCCAGTTCTTTTAACACTCTTGGTCTCTTTACATGTGTAGCACATTAATACAAACAACATTTAAAAAACCCCTCCAATACATTGTCTCAATACAATCTATTCACAATCAGTAACTTGAGGAATGGAGAACAAGGCATAATATGCAGCACTTGCAGTGTCCCTTAATGCTAAAACACGCAAACCCTTCAGCTATGCGTCTGCCCCACAGGTACGTTGAAAATTAACTGTCGTTTTCTGGCAAACTGAACTTTTGATCCTGTTGACTGTTTTCATTCCTGACTCATCTCAAGAGGGGGCCATATTAAGCTTCAGTCTTCTGGATAGTCAGTGCCTGGTTCAGAAACATGAACAGCTGTTGTCATGATGGCGTGTCCTGAGCACACATTGTTTATATAATGCATTCAAAGCATAGCCACTGGGCACTCACCAGGCTCCGTTTGTCCTAGCTGAGGAGCACTGAGGAAATACTGCTGTTCCCTGCACCTGTAGATAGAGCTGCTCTCGTGGAGATGGGCTTTTGGAGAAGCTTGTATTACAGTAGTACGTGCCCTGTGCCGTGTAGCTGCACGGGGGGAGAGCCTCAGCCTGGCCTGTGTTTTCAGTATGGTGCTTCCCACAGGAATGGGAACGCATGTGTTATGGGAGAGAAAGGCCTGTTTTGCCCAAGAGAATGAGTGGGATGAGAAATGCCTGTCTTGCCCAAGAGAATGAGTGGGATGTACAGACAGAGGCAAAGTGCAATCCAGCTCCCCTGCTTCAGCAAATCACTGTGGTGTGATGCCTTTCAGATGAAGGTCAGGCAGGACGAGGAGAAGCAGCAGCTGTGCTCCCTCCGGGATCACCTGAAAACAGCGTTACAGCTGGAGCAGAAAGAGGTAAAGCGGGTCCCCCTTCCTAGGCACTGCCATTATGGCTGCCTGGTGGAGTATTCACGGGGAGAGCAGTCTGTGCATTGCATCCCCAGAGCTCATGTAGGGAACAATGCATTTGCAAGTGCATCTCCTTCCTGGCTATGGGCTGTGCCCTGTGAGGTGAGCTGTGCCCCCCCATCCAGGGAGCTAAGGGGACAAAGGGAAGCAGCTGTCCTTGCTCAAATCCGGAGGGGCCGGGGGGATGGTGAGGGCTCTGCTCTATCCATGGCTCTGCAAAGTTCTCCTTTGGGGGCTGTGGATTGGATGCTGTGAGTGAATTTCCTGTGCCTGGAAGGTGCTGGAGTTGCAGCCCAGGGGACTGGAGCCCACTCTTCCCAGAGCAGCTGGGGAAAGGGAAGTGGAGGGCATGTCTTCCTCACCCCTCGTCCTGTCCCGGCAACACGCTCCTCCTGTTCCACAGGGACCCAGCTGCTGGAGATGCCTGGCTGTCCCAGTGGAGTAGGTTGAGGCTGAGGTGGTGTTGTGGTTTCTGCCTATTGAGCTTGCTGACTGCCTCCCTCTCTGAGGCAGCCCTTCCTGACCACCTCACCCAGTGCAGCCCATCCTGACTGCCTCACCTACAGCCCTGGCAGTGCCCCCTTTGCAGGCTCCCTAGGGATTGTGCATCTGCCAACGGGCAGTGCAGTCTGGGGCATGCAGCATCCCCAAGCTGGGCCATGCCAGACTGCCCTAGCTGTGAGGAGTGGGGACTCCAGAGAGAGGGGATGAGCCCAGAGGGAGCAGCAGGATCCCCCCGGTACCTGCCAGAGGCCGTGGGAAGATAAGGAGATGAGGGGGCCCAGGGAGATTGGAAACGGGGGAGGAGCCCTCCAACACTCCTCTGGAAAGACCCCCACCTACTCCCCTCAGTAGTAAGCACCCCCCGAATGACAGGAGCACCAAACCTGACCGCTCGTGGACCCAGCACGCTGGCAGCCTCCCCAGGGTTTACTCTGTCACTGGCCTCTCTGCTGCCGCTGCCACAAGGGGCCTGTTCTGGTGGTGGCCACGTCCCCTCCCACACACACCTCCTTTCAGCCAGGCCACGGAGAGCGGCTAGGCAGGAATGGCTTCGGTCACTACTGCCCTGCAGCAGTTTGGAACCAGGGCTGGGCTCCCTCTCCCTTCCCATGCCCAGCTTGGGAATGAGGCAGTGCTGGGGAGCGGACTGAGGGATCTGTGGCTTTCGTACCACTCGGTTCTGTCTGTGTTTGCTCCCTGGGCACTGCTCTCCGAGTTTGGTTCTTGCCACATTCGCTGCACTGTGTATTAACATCACATCTCCTCCCTGGGTGGGACCTTTCTAAGATGCCGGTCTGGAATATGCCGTCAGGAGGAGTCACCCCAGGGAGAGATGGGCATGGGCTAACGACTACCTCTTTGTGTCTGCTAGGACTCTGCTAGCAAGCAGCTACGGTACAACATGCACCAGCTGCAGGGGAACAAGCAGTATGGGACCGAGAAATCGGGGAACCTCTTTAAGAAAAGTGATGGGTAAGTGCAGAGTCTGTACGGTGATGGGTAAGTGCAGCGTCACACGTCTGCAGCATAGACAGTAAGGATCTCCAGTGCAGCCCCTCCGCCCCCTCAGCTGAGTTGCTGAGCTGACCGTGACCCTGTGTCTCCATCAGAATGCGTTCATTTTGGATCAGACGGGAACCCTGCTTTGTGCGATGAAAACTAGGGGCAGCAGCATAAACAAAGGGGAATGAGAAATAACATGGGGGAGTGGGTTTCTAGTGACAATCTGCGTGGGGGCTGGGCTGAGGGATGGCAGCACTGTGTTCCCAGGATCATCCCCAGGAGCATTCACTACAGACTCCCGAGCTGAACCTCCTTTGGGCTTTTTTCTACCAGTTCCAAGTCTTTCCAGGTCCCTTTCCTATCCTCCCCACGCTAATGGGCATGACACTCTGCCCGGGTTAGCCTCCCCTGCACACTTCACTAGTGTCGCTCCCCCGCATCATTAAGGAAGATATTAAATGATGGAACAGTGATGTTCCTGCAGACCTCAAAGCCATTCACAGGAGCTCAGTTACATGATCCCTCTGTGACAGAGGGGCCAGGGGAGACACAGGGCAGTGAAGGGGCCACAGGTGGTGGATGGCAGAACCAGGAATAGAAGCCAGATATCTGCGCCACTGCCTTATACGCAATGGGAGGGAGCACAAGGTAGCTGGGATACCAAGATACTAAGATGGTGTCCCAGATCAGGGCTGGCTGCACCTGTCCCCGCCTTGGGTCTCTCTGAATGCATCCCCTCCAGATCTGAGGCCTCTAGTTTTCACTTCTGTGGGTGGAGTCCTGTGATTTCCCCCCCACTCAGACTGGGTCCTTGTTTTCCAACCACGTTTGACCAGCAGGTCCGACTGGACTACGAACCTGTGGTTCTTCCCTTGGGGAGCTGTGATGAATACAGTGACCCAGGCTGCTCCTGTTGTCTATTGTGAACAGCAGTAACGCAGCTTCATGAGAGAAAAGGATTTTAAAACTGTCACGGAGTCCCTGGGTGATGCTCTGGAACTGCTCCCCATGAAGCCAGTCAGGACTCTGGGGCAGTCGCCTTTCTGTGAGCAGCCTGTCTTCAGGACACGCAGCTCACACTGCTTCCACCTCCCTGGGTCTGACCTCGGAGCATTCAGCATCCTCTGCCCCTCCGTGTGCTTCCCCCAGCGAGTCCGCTCAGGCGGGGCTCCTGGGGAAGCCAGAGGGTTCTGCACCCCAGCTTCGCAGTCAGACGTGACTCTCAGCCAGCCAGTAAAACAGAGGTTTATTAGATGACAGGAACATGGTCTAACACAGAGCTTATAGGTGCAGAGAACAGGACCCCTCAGCTGGGTCCATTTTGGGGGGCAGTGAGCCAGATAACCACGTCTGCCCTTCACTCCATGTCCCAGCCAGCCCCAAACTGAAACTCCCTCCAGCCCCTCCTCCTCTGGGCTTTGTCCCTTTCCCGGGCCAGGAGGTCTCCTGATTCCTTTGTTCTCCAACCCTTTAGCTCTCACCTTGCAGGCGGGAAGGGCCAGGCCATCAGTGGCCAGGAAACAGGTTGTCGGCCATTCTCGGTGTCCAGACCCCTGCACACACCTGCCCTCTAGGGCTCTGCAATGATCATACACCCTTACCCCACCACCTAGATACTTAAGAACTGCATAGGGGAAACTGAGGCACCCCCACACTATTCGGAGGAAACATTAAGAACAGTCCCACTTCGTCACAAAGACAACAGCAGGCCTACACACGTCTCTATCGTAGCAGGAGTCCTCTTTCTTCTTCAGGTGATGGCCCCTATATGGATTCCAAACCTGGGTGCACACGTGTGGGAACAATTCTGTAGCAGTGCCTGTTGACCTGCATTTGCATCGTGCGTTGTCCTTGTGTCCACAGCCAAGGTTATAAGAGGTTGTGTGCATCGACTCCGCTCCGATTCCCTCTTACCACTGCATGGCCAGAGTCAGAACCCCTGTTCTTATATATGGCTCTAGACTGTTCTCAATGGTAGGAGATGACAGAACGAGGAGTAATGGTCTCAAGTTACAGTGGGGGAGGTTTAGATTGGATATTAGGAAAAACTTTTTCACTATGAGGGTGGTGAAACACTGGAATGCGTTACCTAGGGAGGTGGTAGAATCTCCTTCCTTAGAGGTTTTTAAGGTCAGGCTTGACAAAGCCCTGGCTGGGATGATTTAACTGGGAATTGGTCCTGCTTTGAGCAGGGGGTTGGACTAGATGACCTTCTGGGGTCCCTTCCAACCCTTATATTCTATGATTCTATGATTCTATGATTCTATGATTCTATGTTCCTCCGCGTTCTTAGCCTAGCTCAGAGAGTTGATAGTCTGGTCTGCCTTTGTGTACGTAGTTATAGATAGTATTTGCTTGTTTTTATAATGTATTGTAATTAGTTAGGTTCCCTTTAGGACTTCTTCTCCCATTGGGGAGACTTCCCCACCTGGGGACTATGCCCTGGCCAGTTGGCTTCACGACCTGGACTTTGTGGCCGCACGCCTCCTCTGTGCGTGACAAGCACCAGCGCTGCCTGTAATGCCTCGGAGAAGCCCGTGCGGTCACCCACGGCACCATTTGACAGTCGTTCCCAGCCCGACCACGGGGGGGCCAATGAACTTTGTCTCTGTAAGTGCCTCGTGTGCCCAGGTATCTGTCAATACCGCCGCTGCCTGAGGAGCTCCACTCTGACCACAAGAAGCACAGCCATGGGCATACGGGCAGATCCCAGCCTGGGACTGCCCCTAAATGCAGCACCGCCTCCCTGAGCCGGGCCCAGTTGGGTGAGAAGTCACATGTCAGCCTGGGTGCTGCAGCTCCCAAGGAGTCCAGGACAGAGAACAAAGAGAAACACTGCTGAGATTCACCGGTGCCGCCACCAACTGCAATCACCACTCCAGCAGCGTGCACCGGCGGGATCCTCCAGTCTGCCATGCGCAGTCCCCCACCGACCCAGCCGCCTGGAACCGATTTCTTTCAGGATGTAGTCTGCACCAGGTGTGGGTTCTTATTGTTTGATGATATGCTGTATCTAGTGTGGGATGGTAGATGACAACTCGGGGTGTGCAGTCAGTGGGTTTTTTCCCCTCTACTGAAATAGATTCTTCTGGGGTATTTGGATGGCCCATTCAATGGCGCAATATGCTTCTCTGATGGATTGTCCTTGTTTAGTGGAGGCGTTTTAAAGTGTGTTTAGGTGTCTATCCCGGACTTTGTCTCGGGAACATATGCTGTGGTATCTGATGCCTGGCTGTAGATAACAGATTTCTTGGCATGTCTGGGACTGTTACTGGATCTCTGAAAGTGGATGTGGTGATCCATGTGTTTGTTGTGCATAGCTGTCTGTAGGGCTCCACTTCTGAAGCTGATTGTGGTGTCCAGGAAGTTGATGCTGGTGTGGGAGTGTTCCAGAGTGAGTTTAATGGGTGGGTGGTGGCTGTTAAAGTTGTGTTGGAAATCTATGAGGGAGTTTAAGTCATCTGTCCAGAGGATGGAAATATCATCAATGTAGCTCAAGTATATCATTGGTCTTGTGGGGCATTTTTCCCGAATAGTCCATGAAGACAAACACCACAGACAACCATATACGAGAAATCCATGGAGCACCACACCTACCTTCACAGATCCTGTAACCACCCCAAACACACCAAGAAATCTGTTATCTACAGCCAGGCACGCAGATATCACAGACTATGCTCTGAGGAGAAACTCAGGGATACACACCTTAACACACTTAAAACTGCCTTGATGAAGCAAGGACAATCCACCAGAGAAGCAGATTGCATCATGGAACAGGCCACCCAAATACCTGGGGAGAACCCGCTTCAAAACAGAAAAAGAGAGAGCCTCTGACTGTATACCCCTGGCTGTCATCTATCACCCCACACTGAAATCCATATGAGGTATCATCAAACAGATACAATCCATATTTGATGGGGACTACATCCTGTAAGAAATCTTTCTTGAACCCTTTTTCCGGCCTTCAAACAACCTCCCAACCTCACTATGCTCATCATCAGAAGCAGGTTCCCCACAGACCAGGACGCAACAACTCAAAGCGGCAGCAAACCCTGCCAGAACAACAGATGCAAAACCTGCAGACATATCTCCATTGCTATGATGATCAATATTCCCCACAACACACTTTTCAAGATCCATGGGTCCTACACAGGCCTATCCCAACATGAGGTGTACCTCATCCACTGTATCAAATCCCCCAAGTATGTGGCTGAAACCAGACAATCACTATGCTCTCGAATTAACTCTCACAGAAAAATGAAAAAAGACAAAAACACCAGATCACATGTAGGCAAACACTTTTCACAAAAGGCTTACTCAACATCTGACCTCTCAGTCCTCGCTCTCAAAGGAAACCTGGACAACAGCTTCAAAAGATGAGCCTAGGAACTTAGGCTATATCTACGCTACCGCCTATGTTGGCAAAATGTATGTCGCTCAGGGGTGTGAATAAACCACCCCGCTGAGCAACGTAAGTTACACTGACCTAAGCACTGGTGTGCAAAGCGCTATGTCGGCAGGAGAGCTTCTCCCGCTGATACAGCATCTGCCGTTTGCAGAGATGGTTTTATTATGCCGACGGGGGAGCTTTCTCCCATTGGCATAGAGCGTCTTCCCCGCATGCACGGCAGTCCTTGGGTCCTGCCCAGCACTCACCCCAGAGCGGTGGCTCCCGCAGCTCCAGTGCTGTGGGGCTGGCTGGACTTGGCTCTCCACCCTGGGCGTTGCAATCTCAGGGGTTGCAGCACAGCTCAGGTTTGGCCCTGCTCCCGACTGCTCCCCTGAATTTGTGAGAGTGGAGTTGTGACCTGGCTCCTGGGGTGGCGTTGCCACTCATTCATATTTGGCATACTGGGACGCCTGTCATGATGACAGCTGGGCCAAAGCTGAGTGGCACAGGGACTTCAGAGGTTGCAGTGCCTGGAGCAGGGAGGTGAGCCCAGCCTGTCCCGTGGAACAGGAGTCACAGGAGCTGCCATGCGACCTTTTGAAATATTCTGGCAACCCAATGCTGGATCCTGACGCACGGGTTGAGAAACCCTGCTCTACACCATCCCTGACAGGTGTTTATCTAACCTGTTCTTAAAAACCTCCAGCTTGGACACTCTGGTTACCTTCTCCAGACCTGAGGAAGAGCTCTGTATAAGCTTGAAAGGTTATCCCTTCCAGCAACAGAAGCTGGGCCAGTAAAAGATATTACCTTGCCCACCTTATTACAGACAATTCCAAATCTGTCATGAGTTTGCAGGGCAATATGGCAGCACAGAGGCCAGGTAAACCATGGAAATGATCAGGGGCTGAAGGGATCGATGTGCGAAGGAGACTGGAAGGGTGTAACGTGTTTGGCTTGGCTGAGCAGTGCCTGCAGGTGGGGAGGGGACAAGGCAGTTTACAAACCCATGGGAGGTGTAAATATCAAGGCAGGAGAGGAATCTAGGGCATGGCAAGGGCTACCGCTAGAAGTGGAAGGAAGCGCATGAACTGAGAGGCCTGGAGCACATCCTCGCAGTGAGCTCTGCCAGGCTGGGACTGGCAGCAAGGCCAGCCCATGGCTTGGGGAAAATGCTATATACATCGTCTCCAGTAAGAGGCTGTGCTGCCCATCCATCACGCCTCTTGCGGCGTGCCACAGGCCACCTCTCTCAGCTCAGGGCAGGCCAAGGGCTCCCCCGCCCTGCTCTTGCTACTACCTCCCACCTGCACAAGCCAGGCAGTTTGTCAGGAGCAGAAGCTGTGGCCTTAGCTGTGCCCTCCTCTCCTCTCTGCATGGGTGCCTGCAGTGGTGCTGCTCTGCACGCTCCTTTGACAGGCTGGTCCCTGGCTGAAGGGGTCTCCAGCCCCTTGGGCAGAAGGACTTTGAGCATCTCCTTTGAAATGAGAGAATTCCTGGTTCATTTTCAGGTTGAGGAAGGTCTGGCAGAAGAGGAAGTGCACGATCCAGAATGGCTACCTAACCATCTTTCACAGCACGGTAGGGCCGGTGCCTCCATCACCTTCATGGCCCATGCTCAGAAGTGGTGGGCTGAAAAGGCCTGTGGGATTCAGTGCCTTCCGGGGGGGTTGTTCAGATGATTAACACTTTGTTACCCACAGTGAGTCTAGTGGCTTTCCCTGAGCCTGACTGGAATCCCTGGAGTATGATGATTTAGTTGGGGATTGGTCCTGCATTGAGCAGGGGGTTGGACTAGATGACCTCCTGAGGTCCCTTCCAACCCTGATATTCTCTGGTTCTATGATTCTATGATCTTCTCCAACCCCATGCTGCTGGCCTGACCCAATGCCCACTGGAGTCTTTCCTTTGAGGCTGGAGTCCCTGTGCCCTCATTGGACCACAGGCAAATCACTAGGGTCTTGCCCAGCCTGAGAGCCGGCACGGAGAGCGCACCCAGCATCCAGGAGCAGGGGAAAGGTCATTGCTGTGATTTTGTTTATTATTATTGATGACAGCACCGGCAAGGACAAAGTGCATGGGTTACTGGGAAGGCCGACTGCATTCTGTCTGGCCCCTGTCACTGGCCTAGCTGAGCGCTCACAGGCTTCAATGGATTCCCCTCACAGCTCCCGTGGGAGGCAGGGTAGGGCTGTTATCCCCGTGGACAAAGGGGAACTGAGGCCAGAGAGACTAAGTGACTTCCCCAGGCTCACACCGGCAGGCTCTGACAGAGCAGGGCCTTGAACCTGAGTCTCCCAAGTTTAGGTTTGTCCCTAACCGCTGAGAAGTTCTTCCTCCCTGTTCCCTGCCTCAGTGACCCTAATCGCTTGGGAGCATTGCCGGGACCTGCCCCCAGGGGTTGCTATTCTAGCAATGCTGCAAGTACTCCATCTTCCATCCACTAGCTAAACCGCTCACCAGCCAACCTGAATTTGCTGACTTGCCAAGTGAAGCCGAACCCGGATGATAGGAAGTGCTTCGACCTCGTTTCACGTGAGTCCCATTGTCTGTTTCGTAATGTCTGGGGAAGGCCCGATGGGCAGCCGCATGCTGAATTTCTGACTCAGGGAACCAATGCAGCAAGGTGCAGGGCAGGGGCATTACTTGTGTGGTTCCAATCGGGAGCTCTAGGCCAGGCCCAGGGCATGGGGATACGGAGCAGGTTTGCGAGGCCGTTGGCAGTTCTGAGCTTTCAAGCTGCTTGGCAAACACAGAGCCTGGGTGTTGTGATGAAAGGAATCTCCCCAGCGGGATTCGCCAGCGTATGCCCATGCTGGACGTCTGGCTGACCGGGTGGCACTAGCAGGGGAAAGCGGAGGTTTGGTAACAAGCACATTGTGATGCAGGCAGCTTAGCCCACCGCAGGCGTTCCTAGGTGTTGGTATGGCAGCAGTGCTCCGAGTCAGGGTCCCATTCTGCCTGGTGCTGTACGTGCAGCTCAGTAAAACACAACACCCTGGCTGGCTTCCTGAAAGGACTTGGGGCTGAGGAAAGATTGACAGAGAAAGAGGGGTAGAGCTCAGTGGTGTAGCACCTTCACAGCCTCAGATGCTTGCAGCCTACGGGCATGTGGGCCAGAGCTCTTGCACCTGGCCCCCCTGGCACCACCTTCGGGTGGGGCAAGCAGGGTGCTAACCCCATGCACATTGGCCGCAGAGGCTGAGCGAGTGAACGGCGTAGGAGCGGCCCCCTCTGTGTGCTGAACTGTGCCACACACCCCTCACATGGGGAGTGCAGAGAGCTGCCTCTGGGCGGCGTTGGTGCCCTCTGGTTGCCGGTTTGTCTCAGGTCTAAACACACATGGTTCTGTGTATCTCAGATAACCGCACATACCACTTCCTGGCGGAGGACGAGCAGGAATGCACCGCGTAAGTACCAGAGTGGGAGCAGGGACTGCGCTGAGTCGGGAGCAGAATGGCCAAGTGGCATAAGGCTTCTTGTGGGGGACAAGTACCAGCCCTGTGAGCTGCTGAATGGGAGGCAGCTCCTTGGGCCATCTCACTCCTCTGCCGCAGGTTGGAGCCCTGCATCCTCCTCGCCCCTCCAGGAGGGAGGGCAGCAGGGTAGCCAGGCTGAGGCAGGGGCTGCTGATGCCTGATTTGCCCAAGGCCATGGATGGAATTCAATGGCCCCGGGCTCCCAGGCCTGCGTGTGGAGCAGAAGAGCCAGCAGCCTCCGTGTTGCCCGTCCCTAGCACCGGCTGGAGCAGTGGGACTTGCCTGCAAAGGTCTGCTGCCTCCAGCCTCCTTCTCTTGCCCATCCCCAGCTGTGAATGTGGGGGTTGAAAAGTGGTGTTCTCTGTTGGGCTGCCTCTGTCTGCCCTGCAGGGAGACGCACCAGCCAGAGGGCAGCAATGGCCGGTCTGAGTTCACCGGCCCTCACTACCAAGTTCCTGCCAGTAATGAGGTGTGGGGAGGAGCCTGCTGTGAGCCCACCCTACTTCCTTCTCTGAGCCTGCACAGGCCTGTAGCGAGCTTTGGCCCACCCCAGGCAAGTGTTGGTGCAAGGCTAAAGGTGCGGGGCAGGTCTGGAAGCACAGTCCCCACCCCTGCAGCTCTGAGATGCTGCTCTGCAGCCACTCTGGGGCTCCTGCCAAGTGCCAGGGTGAGGCCATGGGGCAGAGTCCCTCCTCAGAGCAATGTGCATGTGCAGAACTCGAGGTCTCCACTGCCCCAGGCACCCTGCCCGTGTTAGCCCTGAGCACACAGGGGGCGATGGCGCAGCACGGCAGCAATGGCTCATGCTTAGCCCTCGCCTCTGCTCCCCCGTGCACCAGAGTACAGAGCCCGTACCCCCTTCCTGACATGGAACAGGGGCCCCTCTGACAACAGCTTCCTCCTCCTTGCAGCTGGATTTCTGTTCTCAGCAACAGTAAGGAGGAGGCTCTGAATGTGGCCTTCAGCCGGGTGCATGGCAGTCGAGAGAGCAGCATGGAGGGGCTGACCAGGGCCATCATCGAGGAGATCAAGTGCATGCCAGGGAACAGCGTGTGCTGCGACTGCTCAGCACCAGGTGAGCGTAGTCATGGGAGGATGGGACAGGGACAGGGACAGGCACCGTACAGCTGCTGCGCAGTCAGCACCCAGCACAGTGATGCAATGACCCTGCTCCAGCCAAGCCAGCAGCCGTCTCGAAGGCAGCTGCTAGCCCCTCCGCAGCCCTGTACTCCACTCACAGCACGGGGCTGCTGGAGCCATGGGTGGCAGGGAGCATCTGGGCACCCTACCCCCACCCCAGCCAGCACACCACTGCTCTCACCCCCATCACCAGCGCCATTCAGGGGCTTTCCACAGCTCCTTGGGAAAATGCCCTGCACTCCTCCCTCCTGCAGAAATACCCAGTTTGGCGGGAGCCCCACATAGAGCTTTCCCTGAATTACAGCCTTGAGAGAGGGGACCATGGATTTGCCCTCAAACTCCTTGGACCCCCCCCTTCACCCCCCCCCGAATCAATGGAAGGATCCTGCTGTGAAACTGCTCAGTGAGAGGAGACTGAGTCCCCTCAGACACCACTTTGCTGAACCCTTTGCACCTCCGAAATCAGTCCCTCCTGCCCCCACCCCGCCCTTTGGCTCCTCCCACTCAGTCACTCCTGCCCTCTGTTGCTGGAATCCTAAGTCCGGTTCTGGTGCCCACAGTTCAAGAAGGATGCTGATAAATTGGTGAGGGTTCAGAGAAGAGGCCATGCAAATGATTGAAGGATTAGAAACCTACCTCATAGTGATATAGACTCAAGGAACTCACTCTATTTAGCTTAACGAAGAGAAGGTTAAGGGGGGACATGATTAGTCTAGAAATACCTACGTGGGGAACAAATATTTGCTGGCGGGCTCCTCAGTCTACCAGAGAAGGTCTAACACTCCAGTGGCTGGAAGTTGAAGCTAGACACATTCAGACTGTACAGAGGTGTACATTTAGTGGAAGGGTTTACTAAGGGGAGTGAAAAGAACAGGAGTACTTGTGGCACCTTAGCGACTAACAAATTTATTAGAGCATAAGCTTTCGTGGGCTACTGCCCACTTCATCGGATGCATAGAATGGAACATATAGTAAGATATATACATATATATGTATACACACACACATACAGATAAGTTGGAAGTTACCATACAAACTGTGAGAGGCTAATTAGTTAAGATGAGCTATTATCAGCAGGCGAAAAAAACTTTTGTAGTGATAATCAAGATGGCCCATTTAGACAGTTGACAAGAAGGTGTGAGGATACTTAACTTAAGGAAATAGTTTCAATAAGTGTAATGACCCAGCCACTCCCAGTCTCTATTCAAACCCAAGTTAATGGTATCTAGTTTGCATATTAATTCAAGCACTGCAGTTTCTCATTGGAGTCTGTTTTTGAAGCTTTTCTGTTGCAAAATTGCCACCCTTAAATCTTTTACTGAGTGGCCACAGAGGTTGAAGCGTTCTCCTACCAGTTTTTGAATGTTATGATTCCTGATGTCAGATTTGTGTCCATTTATTCTTTTGTGTAGAGACTGTCCGGTTTGGCCAATGTACATGGCAGAGGGGCATTGCTGGCACATGATGGCATATATCACATTGGTAGATGTGCAGGTGAATGAGCCCTGATGGCATGGCTAATGTGTTTAGGTCCTATGATGGTGTCACTTGAATAAATATGTGGACAGAGTTGGCATCGGGCTTTGTTGCAAGGATAGGTTCCTGGATTAGTGTTTTTGTTGTGTCGTGTGTGGTTGCTGGTGAGTATTTGCTTCAGGTTGGGGGGCTGTCTGTAAGCGAGGACTGGTCTGTCTCCCAAGATCTGTGAGAGTGAGGGATCATTTTTCAGGATAGGCTGTAAATCTTTGATGATGCGCTGGAGAGGTTTTAGAAGGGGGCTGAAGGTGACAGCTAGTGGCGTTCTGTTATTTTCTTTGTTGGGCCTGTCCTGTAGTAGGTGACTTCTGGGTACTCTTCTGGCTCTGTCAATCTGTTTCTTCACTTCAGCAGGTGGGTATTGTAGTTTTAAGAATGCTTGATAGAGATCTTGTAGGTGTTTGTCTCTGTCTGAGGGATTGGAGCAAATGCGGTTGTATCTTAGAGGTTGGCTGTAGACAATGGATCGTGTGGTGTGTCCTGGATGGAAGCTGGAGGCATGTAGGTAAGTATAGTGGGCAGTAGGTTTCCGGTATAGGGTGGTGTTTATGTGACCATCACTTATTAGCACAGTAGTGTCCAGGAAATGGACCACTTGTGTGGATTGGTCTAGGCTGAGGTTGATGGTGGGATGGAAATTGTTGAAATCATGGTGGAATTCCTCAAGGGCTTCTTTTCCATGGGTCCAGATGATGAAGATGTCATCAATGTAGCGCAAGTAGAGTAGGGGCGTTAGGGGACAAGAGCTGAGGAAGCTTTGTTCTAAGTCAGCCATAAAAATGTTGGCATACTGTGGGGCCATGCGGGTATGCATTGTCCCCAAATGTGAAATAGTTATGGGTGAGGACAAAGTCACAAAGGTCAGCCACCAGGTTTGCCATGACATTATCGGGGATACTGTTCCTGACGGCTTGTAGTCCATCTTTGCGTGGAATGTTGGTGTAGAGGGCTTCTACATCCATAGTGGCCAGGATGGTATTTTCAGGAAGATCACCGATGGATTGTAGTTTTCTCAGGAAGTCAGTGGTGTCTCGAAGGTAGCTGGGAGTGCTGGTAGCGTAGGGCCTGAGGAGAGAGTCCACATAGCCAGACAATCCTGCTGGGGAGTGGTGACTTCTCCAGCCCTGGCAAGTTTTGAATGAAGACAGGGATTATTTGGGGTTCTCTGGCCTGTGTATGCAGGAGGACAGATTAGATGAGGCCTTGGAATCTGAGAGTATTAAAAGTGGGATGTCGGGCAAGAAACTCCAGGAACTGCCTTGTACTGGAGCACTGGCAGAGCGATCACCTCTGCTCTGGCAGCAGCCTACAAACCCCGTCAGCATTTGCCCTTTTCCCAGGGGGAATGGAGGCACATGGAGGGGAATGACTTGGTCAAGGTCACCCAGCCAGTTAGTGTCAGAGTCTGGCATAAAGCCAAGTCCCGTGCTCTAGCCACTAGCCTACAGTTCTCTGTGCCCCCCCGGGCCTGAGCTCAGACATTTCCAGGCACTGGCAGCTGGCATGTTGTGTGAGACTGACTAAGTCAGGTTCTTTCTTTGAGTCTCATTGCTAGGGAGCTAGCTCCAGAGGGGGCATGGCCCTTTACAGACAGAGCCAATAGCAAGGCAGGTCCCTGCCCAGAGCAATGTCCAGACCAAGCATTTGTGTGAGTTGCACCTAAGCTGGAGCCCTAGCACACAGGGACACGGACCTGCGAGGACAAGGCACCAACCTCTCGCTCCAGAGAGGGAACTGGGGGGAGGAGCAGTGGCCTGGAAACTCCTTCTAGGGGTACCTTTAAAATCAGTGAATTTACGCCCCCCATTCCCAGACCCCCATGGGCAGCCCCGTCACTACCAGCAGCTATGGAGAGTGCATTTCCATGGGTCGTCGGGGAAAGAGCATCTTCACCAAATAGCTACAGCGGTGCAGCTGCACCCGTGCAGATCTGCCATTTTAAGTGTAGACCTGCTCTGAGCGCCACTGCACGCAGCATGTGCAACCCAGAGCAACGGCATGGCAAAGCAGCCAGCAGACCTGTCAGCTCCCATCCACAAACCCCAGGGGGATGACAGCCTCCAAGGGGGGGAAGGAGCTCCCTGCCCAGACCCAACAGGGGCCAGTTGGGGGGAAGGGAGCTCCCCACTCTCCTCCCACCCCTATCCAAAGCTGGGACATTTTCAAATTATATTTCCATGTTTGCCATAAACAGCCCCCTTTGCCATCCTCCACTCAGTCGATCATGTAAAGTCAAGTGGCCAGCGGCTCCTTGGACCCCATGGCACTTCCCCTTCCTGTTCTCACATTTTTTTCTACAGCCCAGATTCTCTATTCTGTCCAGTTATGCCTCCCTGATTCTGTGCCTGGCCCCCGGCACAGACGAAAGCATCCTGGGGGCTGCTCTGATTTGCACCACCCAGCTGTGGTCCCTGAGGGACTATCCACCAGCTTGAGACTACCAGAGAGCATTGTGCTCCAGCCATTCCCCTGCGGGGTGCCGGAGGCTGCATGGAGGAAAGCAGAGGAGCTCTGACAGCTCTAGTCCCAGCAAGGACTCCCTCAGTAAAGTGCACCTGGTCTGGAGAGGGGAATCTGGCTCTCACTGTCCATGTACCTTCATTCCCAATATCGTCTCCCTTCCACTCTCCTTCCTTTCCTGTCTCTGTCCCAGTCCATCCACCCACCTTCATCCTCTCTCTTCTCCATTCCCACCACCTGCTCAGATGCCCCACTGTAGGCCGGGGAGAGGGGGGGTGAGACTGAGTGGTTGACAAGGTGTCTTGTTCACCCCATCCTGTGCCCCTGACTGCCCAGCACCTCTGGCAGGATGGGGGTGCTAATCAGAGCAATGTGCTGTCTCCCCAACAGACCCAAGCTGGCTCTCCATTAACCTGGGCATCCTGATCTGCATCGAGTGCTCCGGGATTCACCGAGAGATGGGCGTGCACCACTCCCGCATCCAGTCGCTGTCTCTGGACAAGCTTGCAACCTCTGAGCTCTTGGTAGGGAACTGCCCACGCACGCTCCCTCAGGGCGCCGCCCCGCGCTCTGCCACCCCCTGCGCTCCCTCAGGGCGCCCCCCTGCTCCACTGCTGCCCACACGCGCACTTCCGCAGAGCCCCCCCTCTGCTGCTGCCCATACGCGCTCCCTCAGGGCTCCCCCTGCGCTCTGCCACCCCCTGCGATCCCTCAGGGCGCCACCCCCACGCTCTGCCACCCCCTGCGCTCCATCAGGGCACCCCCCTGCTCCGCTGCTGCCCACATGCGCACTTCCGCAGAGCCCCCTTCTGCTGCTGCCCATACGCGCTCCCTCAGGGTGCCCCCCCGCGCTCTGCCACCCCCTGCGATCCCTCAGGGCGCCACCCCCACGCTCTGCCACCCCCTGCGCTCCCTCAGGGCACCCCCCTGCTCCGCTGCTGCCCATATGCGCACTTCCGCAGAGCCCCCCTTCTGCTGCTGCCCATACGCGCTCCCTCAGGGCGCCCCCCCGCGCTCTGCCACCACCTGCGCTCCCTCAGGGCGCCCCCCCGCACTCTGCCACCCCCTGCGCTCCCTCAGGGCACCCCCCTGCTCCGCTGCTGCCCATATGCGCACTTCCGCAGAGCCCCCCTTCTGCTGCTGCCCATACGCGCTCCCTCAGGGCGCCCCCCCGCGCTCTGCCACCACCTGCGCTCCCTCAGGGCGCCCCCCCGCACTCTGCCACCCCCTGCGCTCCCTCAGGGTGCCCTCCCACGCTCTGCCACCCCCTGCGCTCCCTCAGGGCGCCCCCCCCGCGCTCTGCCACCCCCTGCGCTCCCTCAGGGCGCCCCCCCGCGCTCTGCCACCCCCTGCGCTCCCTCAGGGTGCCCTCCCGCGCTCTGCCACCCCCTGCGCTCCCTCAGGGTGCCCTCCCGCGCTCTGCCACCAGCTGCGCTCCCTCAGGGTGCCCCCCGCGCTCTGCCACCCCCTGCGCTCCCTCAGGGTGCCCTCCCGCGCTCTGCCACCCCCTACGCTCCCTCAGGGTGCCCTCCCGCGCTCTGCCACCCCCTGCGCTCCCTCAGGGTGCCCTCCCACGCTCTGCCACCCCCTGCGCTCCCTCAGGGTGCCCTCCCACGCTCTGCCACCTCCTGCGCTCCCTCAGGGTGCCCTCCCACGCTCTGCCACCTCCTGCGCTCCCTCAGGGTGCCCTCCCACGCTCTGCCACCTCCTGCTCTCCCTCAGGGCACCCCCACCGCACTCTGCCACCCCCTGCGCTCCCTCAGGGCCCCCCCCTCTGCCCCCCCCTGCGCTCCCTCAGGGTGCCCTCCCACGCTCTGCCACCCCCTGCGCTCCCTCAGGGTGCCCTCCCACGCTCTGCCACCTCCTGCTCTCCCTCAGGGTGCCCTCCCACGCTCTGCCACCCCCTGCGCTCCCTCAGGGCGCCCCCCGCGCTCTGCCACCCCCTGCGCTCCCTCAGGGTGCCCTCCCGCGCTCTGCCACCCCCTGCGCTCCCTCAGGGTGCCCTCCCCGCGCTCTGCCACCCCCTGCGCTCCCTCAGGGTGCCCTCCCACGCTCTGCCACCCCCTGCGCTCCCTCAGGGTGCCCTCCCACGCTCTGCCACCCCCTGCGCTCCCTCAGAGCCTGCCCTCCTCAGCCCTCCCCGCTCTGCCACCCCCTGCGCTCCCTCAGGGTGCCCTCCCATGCTCTGCCACCCCCTGCGCTCCCTCAGGGCGCCCCCCCCACGCTCTGCCACCCCCTGCGCTCCCTCAGGGTGCCCTCCCGCGCTCTGCCACCCCCTGCGCTCCCTCAGGGTGCCCTCCCCGCGCTCTGCCACCCCCTGCGCTCCCTCAGGGTGCCCTCCCACGCTCTGCCACCCCCTGCGCTCCCTCAGGGTGCCCTCCCACGCTCTGCCACCTCCTGCTCTCCCTCAGGGTGCCCTCCCCACGCTCTGCCACCCCCTGCGCTCCCTCAGGGTGCCCCCCCGCGCTCTGCCACCCCCTGCGCTCCCTCAGGGCGCCCCCCGCGCTCTGCCACCCCCTGCGCTCCCTCAGGGTGCCCTCCCGCGCTCTGCCACCCCCTGCGCTCCCTCAGGGTGCCCTCCCGCGCTCTGCCACCCCCTGCGCTCCCTCAGGGTGCCCTCCCACGCTCTGCCACCCCCTGCGCCCTGCGCTCCCTCAGGGCGCCCCCCGCTCTGCTCTGCCACCCCCTGCGCTCCCTCAGGGTGCCCTCCCGCTCTGCCACCCCCTGCGCTCCCTCAGGGTGCCCTCCCACGCTCTGCCACCCCCTGCCCCCCCTGCCACCTCCTGCGCTCCCTCAGGGTGCCCTCCCACGCTCTGCCACCCCCTGCGCTCCCTCAGGGTGCCCCCCCCGCGCTCTGCCACCCCCTGCGCTCCCTCAGGGTGCCCTCCCGCGCTCTGCCACCCCCTGCGCTCCCTCAGGGTGCCCTCCCGCTCTGCCACCCCCTGCGCTCCCTCAGGGTGCCCCTCCCGCGCTCTGCCACCCCCTGCGCTCCCTCAGGGTGCCCTCCCACGCTCTGCCACCCCCTGCGCTCCCTCAGGGTGCCCTCCCGCGCTCTGCCACCCCCTGCGCTCCCTCAGGGTGCCCTCCCGCGCTCCCCCCCCGCGCTCTGCCACCCCCTGCGCTCCCTCAGGGCGCCCCCCCGCCTCTGCCACCCCCTGCGCTCCCTCAGGGTGCCCTCCCGCGCTCTGCCACCCCCTGCGCTCCCTCAGGGTGCCCTCCCGCGCTCTGCCACCCCCTGCGCTCCCTCAGGGTGCCCTCCCGCGCTCTGCCACCCCCTGCGCTCCCTCAGGGTGCCCTCCCGCGCTCTGCCACCCCCTGCGCTCTCCCCCCTCAGGGTGCCCTCCCACGCTCTGCCACCCCCTGCGCTCCCTCAGGGCGCCCCCCCCGCGCTCTGCCACCCCCTGCGCTCCCTCAGGGTGCCCTCCCCGCGCTCTGCCACCCCCTGCGCTCCCTCAGGGTGCCCTGCCACCCCTGCGCTCCCTCGGGGCCCCACTCTGCCCCCTGCGCTCCCTCAGGGTGCCCTCCCGCACTCTGCCACCCCCTCTGCTCCCCTCAGGGTGCCCTCCCCGCTCTCTGCCACCCCCTGCGCTCCCTCAGGGTGCCCTCCCGCGCTCTGCCACCCCCTGCGCTTCCTCAGGGTGCCCCCACGCTCTGCCACCTCCTGCGCTCCCTCAGGGCGACCCCCCGCACTCTGCCACCCCCTGCGCTCCCTCAGGGTCCCCCCGCCGCTCTGCCACCCCCTGCGCTCCCTCAGGGTGCCCTCCCACGCTCTGCCACCTCCTGCGCTCCCTCAGGGCGCCCCCCACACTCTGCCACCCCCTGCGCTCCCTCAGGGTGCCCTCCCACGCTCTGCCACCCCCTGCACTCCCTCAGGGTGCCCTCCCGCGCTCTGCCACCCCCTGCGCTCCCTCAGGGTGCCCTCCCATGCTCTGCCACCCCCTGCGCTCCCTCAGGGTGCCCTCCCACGCTCTGCCACCCCCTGCGCTCCCTCAGGGTGCCCTCCCACGCTCTGCCACCTCCTGCGCTCCCTCAGGGCGACCCCCCGCACTCTGCCACCGCCTGCGCTCCCTCAGGGTGCCCTCCCGCGCTCTGCCACCCCCTGCGCTCCCTCAGGGTGCCCTCCCACGCTCTGCCACCTCCTGCGCTCCCTCAGGGCGCCCCCCCACACTCTGCCACCGCCTGCGCTCCCTCAGGGTGCCCTCCCACGCTCTGGCACCCCCTACGCTCCCTCAGGGTGCCCTCCTGCGCTCTGCCACCCCCTGCGCTCCCTCAGGGTGCCCTCCCATGCTCTGCCACCTCCTGCGCTCCCTCAGGGTGCCCTCCCACGCTCTGCCACCCCCTACGCTCCCTCAGAGCGCCCCCCTGCTCCACTGCTGCCTACGCGCGCACTTCCGCAGAGCCCCCCCTGCTGCTGCCCATACACGCTCCCTCAGGGGGCCCCCCTACGCTCTGCCACCCCCTGCGCTCCCTCAGGGTGCCCCCCCGCGCTCTGCCACCGCCTGCGCTCCCTCAGGGTGCCCTCCCGCGCTCTGCCACCCCCTGCGCTCCCTCAGGGTGCCCTCCCGCGCTCTGCCACCCCCTGCGCTCCCTCAGGGTGCCCTCCCACGCTCTGCCACCCCCTGCGCTCCCTCAGGGTGCCCTCCCACGCTCTGCCACCCCCTGCGCTCCCTCAGGGCGCCCCCCCGCGCTCTGCCACCCCCTGCGCTCCCTCAGGGTGCCCTCCCACGCTCTGCCACCCCCTGCGCTCCCTCAGGGTGCCCTCCCGCGCTCTGCCACCTCCTGCGCTCCCTCAGGGCGACCCCCCACTCTGCCACCCCCCGCTCCCTCAGGGTGCCCCCCCGCTCTGCCACCCACTGCGCTCCCTCAGGGTGCCCTCCGCGCTCTGCCACCCCTGCGCTCCCTCAGGGTGCCCTCCCACGCTCTGCCACCTCCTGCGCTCCCTCAGGGTGCCCTCCCACGCTCTGCCACCTCCTGCGCTCCCTCAGGGCGCCCCCCCCACTCTGCCACCCCCTGCGCTCCCTCAGGGTGCCCTCCCACGCTCTGCCACCCCCTGCGCTCCCTCAGGGTGCCCTCCCACGCTCTGCCACCCCCTGCGGTCCCTCAGAGTGCCCTCCCACGCTCTGCCACCTCCTGCTCTCCCTCAGGGTGCCCTCCCGCGCTCTGCCACCCCCTGCGCTCCCTCAGGGCGCCCCCCCCGCGCTCTGCCACCCCCTGCGCTCCCTCAGGGTGCCCTCCCACGCTGTGCCACCTCCTGCGCTCCCTCAGGGCGCCCCCCCGCACTCTGCCACCGCCTGCGCTCCCTCAGGGTGCCCTCCCGCACTCTGCCACCCCCTATGCTCCCTCAGGGTGCCCTCCCACGCTCTGCCACCCCCTGCGCTCCCTCAGGGTGCCCTCCCACGCTCTGCCACCCCCTACGCTCCTCAGGCACCCCCTGCTCCAACGCGCGCACTCGCACCCCCCCCTGCTGCTGCCCATACGCGCTCCCTCAGGGCCCCCCCGCACTCTGCCACCCCCTACGCTCCCTCAGGGTGCCCTCCACGCTCTGCCACCCACTGCACTCCCTCAGGGTGCCCTTCCGCGCTCTGCCACCCACTGCGCTCCCTCAGGGTGCCCTCCCACGCTCTGCCACCTCCTGCCCTCCCTCAGGGTGCCCTCCCACGCTCTGCCACCTCCTGCGCTCCCTCAGGGCGCCCCCCGCACTCTGCCACCCCCTGCGCTCCCTCAGGGTGCCCTCCCATGCTCTGCCACCCCCTGCGCTCCCTCAGGGTGCCCTCCCCACGCTCTGCCACCCCCTGCGGTCCCTCAGAGTGCCCTCCCACGCTCTGCCACCTCCTGCTCTCCCTCAGGGTGCCCTCCCGCGCTCTGCCACCCCCTGCGCTCCCTCAGGGCGCCCCCCCGCGCTCTGCCACGCCCTGCGCTCCCTCAGGGTGCCCTCCCACGCTGTGCCACCTCCTGCGCTCCCTCAGGGCGCCCCCCGCACTCTGCCACCGCCTGCGCTCCCTCAGGGTGCCCTCCCGCACTCTGCCACCCCCTATGCTCCCTCAGGGTGCCCTCCCGCGCTCTGCCACCCCCTGCGCTCCCTCAGGGTGCCCTCCCGCGCTCTGCCACCCCCTGCGCTCCCTCAGGGTGCCCTCCCGCGCTCTGCCACCCCCTGCGCTCCCTCAGGGTGCCCTCCCACGCTCTGCCACCCCCTACGCTCCCTCAGAGCACCCCCCTGCTCCACTGCTGCCTACGCGCGCACTTCCGCAGAGCCCCCCCTCTGCTGCTGCCCATACGCGCTCCCTCAGGGCGCCCCCCACGCTCTGCCACCTCCTGTGCTCCCTCAGGGCGCCCCCTGCTCTGCTGCCACCCACATGCGCACTTCTTCAGAGCGCCCCCCCCTGCTGCCCACGCGTGCTCCCTCAGAGCGCCCCCCCCGTTGCTGCCCACGCGTGCTCCCTCAGAGCGCCCCCCCCGTTGCTGCCCACTTGTGCTCCCTCAGAGCGCCCCCCCCGCTCTGCCACCACCTGCGCTCCCTTAGGGAACAAGCCAGCTCCACTGCCACCCACAGGCACACCCTTAGGGCGCCCCCCTGCTCTGCTGTTGCCTGCACCTTGGATAGGGCATTGCACAGACAGGAGCTAGTTACAACATGGGCCAGCTTACGGTGAGAGGCGGGCTCTCTGTGCCCAGGCCTACCTGGCCCTGCCCATGGGCTCTATTGTCCAGCGCCCCCCCTGCCCCGGTACACTGGCTGGCGTGTGCTCCCAGCTCTCAGCACGGCGCTGTACGTTGCACCAACTTGTTTCTTACTTATCTGTTTTGCAGCTGGCTAAGAACATTGGTAATTCTGGCTTTAACGACATTCTGGAAGCCAACCTTCCCAGCCCTTTGCTGAAACCCACAGCCGGCAGTGATATGTAAGTCGTTTCTCAGGAGCCCGGAGCCCGGACAAACATCTCCGGGTAGGGCTTTGGGGTATTAGCTGTGGAGCTCTGGGGTGCTTAGCCTGTCTCCCGCACCTGTTTTCACCCTCCCCACTTTCTTGGAACACATGCCTGGGTTCCTCTGGGGTGGGAGAGTCACAGTGCACCATGGGAAGGTGTCATGGGGAGGGGCATACCCTCTGGTGCCAACTCTTCAGTAATGCTCTTCACATCAATTACATTTCAGATCAGACTATGGGCCCAGCCCCGCATTGCCCCAGGGCACAGTAGGTCGTGGGCCCCAGGGCATGGTGAGCGGTGGATGCTACTGAGATGGAATGGCAGCATTTTACAGCCACTGTGCACATGTGCAGCCCAAAGGGGGATCAGGTCCAGTGTGAGTGAGGGCAGAAATCCAACAAAGGGAGTAGAAACACACAGTAGAAATAACAAGGTGAGATTCAATTTGGAAAAATACAAGACTGTACTTCTAGGGAGAAATAACACCAAATAAGCCCACAGCAGGTGGGAACAGGAACAGCTGCTGGAGAGCTAGCAGGGAGAGCAGTCAACAAATTCCACTTCCAGCGCACTGAGGTGCCCCAAGGGAATCGGGGCTGCCTGGATAAAGATGTCTGTGACAGGAACCCCGGGGTACAACCTGGGACTGTGGGACCGCTATGCCCCCTTAACTGACTAATTTGGGTTGTCTCTCACAATGTTTTACTGGTGACAAGCAGCAAACCCCTCCAGGGGCTATCACTCAGTACAACCGCATGTGGAGCCCTACAGCCACCTAGATTGCATGGATGGTCCTAGAGCCACTCACGAATCACACAGACAAAGGCAGCAGCCAGATTCCCTCAGCTCCTAGCTTAGTACCTCAGGAATATACCGTCTTGCGCTGCTCGAGACCCTTTCTTGAGCAATGGAAATTTATTAATTGGTTCACCACTTCATCAGTGGGAAGTGAATATACACCAGCCTTTGTAAACCTGAGCACATTTACCAAACACTTCAGGCAAACTCACTGGTAAAGATAAACAGTTAAACAAATGTATTGACTACAAAAGATAGATTGTAAGTGATTATAAGTGATAGGCAAAAAGTTAGAGTGGTTACCAAAGGAAAATAAAATATAAACAGTCAGCCTCAACCTTAACTCTTATCAGACTAGATCAAGCAATGTTCTCACCCCCACTGGATCTCACCATTCTTAATATACAGGTTTGTCCCTTAAACCTGGGCCAGTCTCCTCTGTTGAAATCTTCTGTCTTCTGAGCATCCTTGTTGCTTGCAGCATAGGTGAGGGGAGGAGAAAAGGCCAAGCATGGGGCCACTGTGTTCTGTTTTATACCCTAAGTCCTTGGAGGACACAAGTCCAGACATGTCCGGTGGGCATTGCTGAGTCACCAGGCAAGGTTGAGCAATTCCCCTGGTGTGGCCTTGTGCAAGTGAGTCATTGTATTGTAGCTTCCTGGCTGGACAATGTCTGTTGATGGTTGTTTGACACCCGTCTGGGCATTGGTTATCCCCCGGGTTATTGTCTTTGGGAAGCTAGTATCTGGGCACTTCCCAAACCCACAGCATATTTAAGTGACAGCCATGCAACACAATTCTCATAACTTCATATGCATTAATGATACTCATATTTAGATGGAACAGTGGGTTTCAGCAGATCATAACCTTTCCCATGATACCTTACATGGCCTGCTTTATATGCAATATCACAATCATAGGTAAATGACGAATACGGGGGTTACAGGGTGCTCCCCTGGGGTGTAGAGTGTCATAGTGTCAATCACAGACCAGGGAGACAACTGCACTGGCACCTCTTGAGATCCTCTGGACATTGAAGTCAAGGCTGGTGGTCTCCTTCAAGCTCTAGTCTAGCTCAACCACAAGTTCTGGGCTGGATCTGGGAATCCCTGGATGGGTTCTCTGGCCTGTATTTGCAGGAGGTCAGACTAGATGATGCTAATGGGCCCTCTGGCCTTAACATCTGTGAATCTCTAAACACTGCATCCAGCTCTGGGAATTGCCCTGTCAGAAAGATATAGACAAAAGCCTGAGAGCAATGGAACCAGCCATGAGGTGAGAGGCTCTGCTTTATAAGGAAAGAATAGAGAGCTCAATCTGCGGAATGTGGCTAAAGCAAGACTGTCTGGGGGGCACACACAACTAGGCGTGGGATGGTCTAAGTGTGATCTGTGGGGCTAGAACCTGGAGAAATGGGTGGAAACTGAGAGAGAGAAAAGAGAGGCTGCATCTCAGGAAGTGCCCCCTGGTGGTGAGCTATATGAGGTGATGCAAGCGCCTCCTAGGGGACAGGGCAGGAATCCCATGACTTGGATATTTAAAATTAGATGGGACAAAATGCTAGAAAACAAACCCTGGGGAACAATCCTGCCCTGGCCAGGGACAGTCTGGAAGGGCCAGCAGGTGTCTCCATTGCTAGCTTCCACCATTCTGTGACCCGCAGTGCTTGCCACTGGGGAAAGCCCCTGAAACCCACCTGTTCAGAGGGCAGCAGCAGGGGCTGATGTGCTCTTGTGCACCATGCTGGTGTTCTGCTCCCCCCTCAACTCCTGCCCTGCCCATTCCTCACCTCACAGCACCATGCCTTAGTGTAGCATATTGCAATCCATACGGAGAAATCTACAGAGTGCTCCCGAGGTGGGGGGACATTGCTAACCTGACACATCAAAATCATGTGTCAAGCCCAGATATCATGAGATGATAACATTTGATAAGAACATAAGAGCAGCCCTTCTGGGTCAGACCAAAGGTCCATCAAGCCGAGTATCCCGTCTTCCAACAGTGGCCAAAGCCAGGTGCCCCAAAGGGAATGAACGCAATAGGTAATCATCAAGTGATCCATCCCCTGTTGCCCATTCCCAGCTTCTGGCAAACAGAGGCTAGGGACACCATCACTGCCCATCCTGGCTGATAGCCATTGATGGACCCATCCTCCATGAATTTATCTAGTTCTTTTTTTTAACGCTGTTATAGTCTTGGCCTTCACAGCATCCGCTGGCAAAGAGTTCCACAGGTTGACTGCATTTTGTAAAGAAATACTCCCTTTTGTTTGTTTTAAACCTGCTGCCTATTAGTTTCATTGGGTGACCCCTAGTTCTTGTGTTATGAGAAGGAGTAAATAACTCTGCCTTATTTACTTTCTCCATACCAATCATGATGATGTCCTTTGCCTTCTGATTTGTGGGCCTTTTGCTTACATGTGGGACATGGCTTCCAGTGGCCAGAAACTGACTTTTGAAGGATAGAAACTGAGATTCTCACATAGTCACCTGACTCCAGCAGCTGTAGTTTAAGACAGCACCAAATATCTCGAGAGTTGACAGTGCTTCTGGAGCAGGATCTGGGGAGTGGTGCAGGAGGGTAGGAGGCCGGGCAAGAGGAAAAGAGGGGCAGAGGGAAGAAGGAACCAGCAGCAGGAGAGGAGGGGAAGCACCACCTCTCTGATGGCTGCCTGCCTTGGCAGCCTCGAGCCTATGCCTGCCTTGCCCAAGAGTGGAGCAGGAGCAATCGTGCTCCAGGGCCTGCGCATTCCCGTGTGAATTCTAATTCTCTTCCCATGCTGGCACCACCCCAGGGCCCTTCGGAAAGATTTCATCATCTCCAAGTATGTCGAGAGGAAATACGCCAAGAGGAGGTCTAGGAGCCCAGCTGCCCAGCGCCAGGAGCTACAGGAAGCCATCAGGTGGAAGGACTTATTTACATTGCTCCAGGCCTATGCCGAAAAGGTGGATTTAAGTGAGCCTGTTCTGGAGCCTGTACAGGTGAGGATGGCCCTGCGCTGGGTGCCCCAAGAGACAGTGTAGATGGAAAGGAGCAGCCCAGGCAGGGACAGTGCAGACTGGGGCAGGGGGACCATGTCACTGACTGGAGGGGACGGGCATGGGGCACAGTGCTGAGGCACCAGGCCTGCAATAAGGGGCTGACACACAGGCATGGGGTAAGGGGCCCCACACCTCTGGTTGGGGCCAGGGTCACAAAGGGGTCTGGATTCTCTGTCTCCAGTGCCTGTGACTACACGGCCCCATTTTTTCTTACCTTAGGTCAGAGGTTTCAGCTCTTTCTTCTTTCTCCTGCTGCTTTTCGCACCTGTGTTGGCTTTCCAGAGGCAGTGCCCCCATCTGGCCCTGTCAGGAAGCACAGGCTCTTGGTAGATGTGCAATTTCTTTGCCATCTGTTTTTCTTCCTTTCCTGCCTCCTGCAGCAGCTATGATTGACTGTTCTTCCCCAGGAGGTGGGGAAGTGGGAAGCAGCCATTCAGAGGGGGATTTCCCCCAGGCCATCTAAAATGTCTTAAGGCTGCAGCTTCTATCATCATGAGACTGGCTTCAGCAGGGACCAGAATCCCGTGACTGTGATGAATTTGGGAGAGTTGGCCACACTGGCTGTACTATTAGTGCATGAAAGCACTGTGCTTTGTTTCAGGTGAGGTTGCACTGCAGATAGCATCCCTTGGCATGCCCGTCTCCTCCTGAGAGTCTGGCTCCAAACCTGAGCAGAAGGGGTGGTGAGAGCAGAGGGCTGCTGGCTTTGAGGTGGTGAGAGCTTTGGAAAGCAGAGGCAGAGCTAGGGTTGGGGTTGATTCTCTGGCGTGTGTGGTTGTGCTCGTGGGGAGCCAGCGGCTCAGGGCTGAGCAGATGGACGGTTCCATTGGATGGCTTCACTTCGCATTTCCGTCATCTTTAGATTTTCTGTAGAGCAACTTTAACTGATCCCCAGTGCAGTGTTTTGACATATCATTTTCCTGGTCTCTGGAGACTTGGCTAGGGTCTCCAACCCGGTGACGGTGCCTTTCAAGGTGGGCAAGCCCTTTGTCAGAGCACCCAGCAGGCTCAGAGCTCATTCTCAGCACTTTCATCAAGTTCCTGGTATTCACCAAAAAGCTCTTTGAAAAGCTGTTCAGAATCAGCTCAGCAGCGTGCCAGGTGTCCTGTCACGGTGCGTACAAACCAATGATTCACACCCAAAAAATCAGACTTTTTCGATTTAAAATTGAATTTTTTTATTTTGTTGTTTCAATTATTATAATTTTTTCTTTTCCAATGAAATCTGAATTTAATACAAAATATGTTCAGGCCTAAACTTATTATAATCTCTTCTTAAAACACTGAAATAAAAATAAATGTGCTGATTCCGTGAGCCACTGCTTTTCTATATCAAGAAAAAATCAGGGGACAAACATCGAACTTTGGAGGTCAAGATTTATGCACATGGCACGATAGGTCATGCGTTGTGGTGAGGGACTGATCTTGTGGGGGCCCAGGGTTCTGCTGCTGGGTTTAAGAGACAGGTTCTGGGACCCAGCCTGTGATTCCAGGAGACACCATCATATATCTCACCAGGACGATCCGCTGAACCACCTAGGGGGCCTCATGCTCCTGTTTTACAGCTTCTCCCTCCCTGAGCTCTGATCGGCTCAGGTCTCAGATTATGAATATTTACAACTCCACCCGCCGGGGAAACTTACTAAGGGAAAATATTCAACTGAGTGCAGCCTCTTGGGTTGACTTCAACACCTGGGAACTAGAGGGAAAAGCCTGCCATGGCGTCAGCTCCTTTTAAAAAAAAAACCCATCTGGAAGTATTTTCAAGACATTCCTTTACCTCTGGGTAAAAAGGGAACAGGAGTCAAATGTAAACCGCACGACAAGGAAACGCAAGGCCTGGTTGTCAAAAGGAAACAACATTTAAAAAGTGCCCTCAGAAGGCAATGCCTTTGAAGATGATGTGGACTTGTCTGACCAATCTGAATCAACTGGTTAGTAAACTTATTTTGCACCATTCTTACAGACTGCCTGCCATGTTTTATTATGCTAGTAAATGATTACTTAGATTATTGTCGTACATTTGTGTTTTGAGTGGATTAATTGCTTATGAATTTCAATATATTTGTGTTCAGAATATAATTGGTATGTTAGTTTGTTGTGGGAGTATTTATCAATTACATTTTTACTGTTACTGCTGGACTTTTGAAGTGATCTTTTATGGCTCAATATAATCAAGCATCCTAGGTGAAGTTTACCTGTTTAAAAGTAAAGTTTTATTAGGCATTGTCATAAATATAAAGGGAAGGGTAAACCCCTTTAAAATCCCTCCTGGCCAGAGGAAAAATCCTCTCACCTGTAAAGGGTTAAGAAGCTAAAGGTAACCTTGCTGGCACCTGACCAAAATGACTAATGAGGAGACAAGATACTTTCAAAAGCTGGGAGGGGGGAGAGAAACAAAGGGTCTGTGTCTGTCTGTATGCTGCTTTTGCCAGCGACAGAACAGGAATGGAGTCTTAGAACTTTTAGTAAGTAATCTAGCTAGGTATGTGTTAGATTATGATTTCTTTAAATGGCTGAGAAAAGAACTGTGCTGAATAGAATGACTATCCCTGTCTGTGCATCTTTTTTGTAACTTAAGGTTTTGCCTAGAGGGATTCTCTATGTTTTGAATCTAATTACCCTGTAAGGTATCTACCATCCTGATTTTACAGAGGTGATTCCTTTACTTCTATTAAAAGCCTTCTTGTAAGGAAACTGAATGCTTTTTCATTGTTCTAAGAGCCAAGGGTTTGGGTCTGTGGTCACCTATGCAAATTGGTGAGGATTTTTACCAAACCTTCCCCAGGAAAAGGGTTGGGAGGATTTTGGGGGGAAAGACGTGTCCAAACTACGTTTCCCAGTAAACCCAGTTAAAGTTTGGTGGTGGCAGTGGAAATCCAGGGGCAAAGGATAAAATTAATTTGTACCTTGGGGAAGTTTTAACCTAAGCTGCTGAAAGTAAGCTTAGGAGGTTTTCATGCAGGTCCCCACATCTGTACCCTAGAGTTCAGAGTGGGGGAGGAACCTTGACAGGCATTTATGAATTTTGACATTAAAATTTTTTTCCAAGCTGTTTGGTATGTTGCTAGAGGTAAAAGTTCAAATAGATTTAGATAATTCTTATGATTTATTTTCCCTATGAAAATGGGTTTAGAATAAATTATATCATTTCAACTGAGGCACAAACAGCTTCAGTAGGAGGAATCTTTCATTTACAATCCCTTTTTTAAAAAAGACAGTGCACTGCGTAAAGATGAGTGAGTGACTTTTTGACCCTTTTGTTTCAGGGCCCAGCTTAGACAGGAGGGGTTATAAATGTCCATCATTTGCAAGGTCTACAACTTTATAGTCATCTGCTGATACCATCAGCAGGGCAACAATTAAACGTATGTCAGACAGCGTCAAAAAAAAAAAAAGACTTCATCCCCCCGTAAAACCATGGCTGCATTTGTCATCAGGACCAGCACATTCCAGCAAAGCTCCATAGACGAAAAGGTTGCTCAGTTCATTTATGCAATAAATTTTTCCTTTTGTCTTGTTCAGAACAAACATTGCATTGACATGATTCAATCATTACAACCAGGCTGTGCTCCAGCTGGCAGAGCAGACATTGCAGGAAGAGTGCTGGATACAGTGTATAGACTCTCACAAGTCTTGGGAGACAGGCCAGTCCTTGCCTACAGACAGCCCCGCAATCTGAAGCAAATACTCACCAACAACCACATACCACACAACAGAACCACTAACCCAGGAACTTATCCTTGCAACAAAGCCCGTTGCCAATTGTGCCCACATATCTATTCAGGGGACACCATCACAGGGCCTAATAACATCAGCCACACTATCAGAGGCTCGTTCACCTGCACATCTACCAATGTGATATATGCCATCATGTGCCAGCAATGCCCCTCTGCCATGTACATTGGTCAAACTGGACAGTCTCTACGTAAAAGAATAAATGGACACAAATCAGATGTCAAGAATTATAACATTCATAAACCAGTCGGAGAACACTTCAATCTCTCTGGTCACGCAATCACAGACATGAAGGTCGCTATCTTAAAACAAAAAAACTTCAAATCCAGACTCCAGCGAGAAACTGCTGAATTGGAATTCATTTGCAAATTGGATACTATTAATTTAGGCTTAAATAGAGACTGGGAGTGGCTAAGTCATTATGCAAGGTAGCCTGTTTCCTCTTGTTTTTTTCCTACCCCCCCCCCCCCCAGATGTTCTGGTTTAACTTGGATTTAAACTTGGAGAGTGGTCAGTTTAGATGAGCTATTACCAGCAGGAGAGTGAGTTTGTGTGTGTATGGGGGTGGGGGGGATGTGAGAAAACCTGGATCTATGCAGGAAATAGCCCGACTTGACTATGTAAAGAGTTGTCACTTTGGATGGGCTATCACCAGCAGGAGAGTGAATTTGTGTGGGGGGGTGGAGGGTGAGAAAACCTGGATTTGTGCTGGAAATGGCTCACCTGTTGATCACTTTAGATAAGCTATTACCAGCAGGACAGTGGGGTGGGAGGAGGTATTGTTTCATATTCTCTGTGTGTATATAAAGTCTGCTGCAGTTTCCACGGTATACATCTGATGAAGTGAGCTGTAGCTCACGAAAGCTCATGCTCAAATAAATTGGTTAGTCTCTAAGCTGCCACAAGTCCTCCTTTTCTTTTTGCGAATACAGACTAACACGGCTGCTACTCTGAAACCAGTGTATAGAAAGGAAATCGAACTGTGTGCAAAAAACATTGATGGGAAATTCGTTAATCTGCGTCTTGATGAACAGTGCACAAAATGATCCAGTAATATGTGCTTGGGTGGCAACATACAATCAGGTTGTCTCTCACAGAAACAACTGATACACCAGGAAATGCGTATGCAGCAGAATACTTAAGAAGTAGCAATACAAGGTGTAACAAACTGAAGAGAAAGTCAAGTGTCAAGTGTGTAGCTT